CAGCCAGCAACATCCCCAGTACGTATACGGCCAGCAACCTCAATACAACCAGCAACCACGTGGCGGTGGTCCTCCTCGGGGTGGGCGAGGTGGTCATCAAGGCGGTAGAGGAGACTTTCACGGTGCTCCTTACTCCCATCCACCAAATGGTTACAATGGTCCCCCCCAGAACCAAGGCCCACCACAGAATCAAGGACCGCCAGCTCCTTACAACCCTCATAATCCTGCGGCAGGCTTCAACCAAGGTCCGGGTTCACAAGGACCTCCTCAAAGTCATGGCCCAAGTGGCGGGTTCTCTGGTCCACAGTGGCAAGGTAACAACAATCATCAGCAGAATGGCCCGCAACACCAAGGCCTTCCTCATCAAGGTCCGCCACACCAGGGGCCGCCTCAGCAACATCCTCAGCAGCCACCAATGCAACACCATCAGCCTGCTGCTCCTTTGGTTGCCCAGAATTACCACCCCAATTATGCCCACCAGCAAGGGTTCAACCAACCACCACATCAACCAGCGCCCCAACTACCCCAGCAACCCCAGTATGGTCCACAGCAACCTTTGCAATTTCAAAATTCCCACCAACAACCTCCATATGGTCACAGTGTGCCACCCAGTCAACATACTTCCCCGCAGTGGTCTGGTCCGCCACAACAAGGCCCCCCACAATTCAATAATCGTGGTCGTGGCCGCGGTGGTTTTACCCCTGCTGCTCGTGGAGGTCATGAAGCACCCTTGATGGGTCCTCCTATTCGAATGGGTTTTGATAATGAGCGAGGAAACCATATGGCTCAAGCGAGCAATGGTTTTACTCCACAGTATCCCCCTAATCACCAATCACCGCCTGTTCCTTTTAATCAACCTCAATATCAAGGATATCCACAGAACTTTGTTCATGGAGGACAGCGTCCACCTCTTGATCCTAATCCTTTCAATTCTGGCCCTCATCGTGGCAGAGGCAATACAAATTTCAGAGGCAGAGGTCGTGGTGATTTCGTCTTTCGCGGCAATGGCAATCATCAGTCTAATGGTCATCGAGCAACTTCTGAGAACTACCATAAGCCTACAGGTGTAGATGCTAGTGGCAAGAAGAAGAAGAAGCGCAAGACAAACACTCTCGGACTCACACCAAATGGTGTCGATCACGATGAGAGTGAAGATGATCTCGATGAAGTTGATGAAGAAGCTCGACTTGTTACTTTACTTGGTCCTGATACTCCACAGTACGTTATTTCAAGAGAGGAAGATTAGTTCTTCTAGCTAACATTCTATAGGCTGCCAACAGATCTTACTGCTTGGCTTGCAGAGCGCAAAGCTAGATTCCCTACGAAAGCTCGTAGAGAGGCTGCTGCAGAAGAACAGCGTCTGCGCCGTGAGCAAGGCCGATCAAAGGGTCATCCTGTCAAGAAGGAAGAGGAGACCAAGCTTGAGCGCGACCAACGAAAGGCCGAGAAGCTCAGGCTCCAGCTTGAGAAGCTTGAACGTAACATGTCTGGTGCCAAGCGCAAGCGTGAAAATGGCGACGAAGGGGACGAAGACCGTGGTCAAGTGAGTGAGAGTGGTTCAGAAGATTCGTCCGAGGAGGCGGACCAAAGACCAGAAGTTATTTCAAGCCGTCTCGGTGTCCCTATGCGCATGCCTCCTCCACCAAAGGCCCAGCTCCAGCGGCATTGCAAATACTTCTCAACTGGGGGTACATGCGGTAAAAAGGGCAAGTGTCGTTTCGTTCACGATCAGGAGGTACGGAATCAAGCTTTGAGAGACAAGGACGCCAACGGTGGCAAGATGACCCTCGCTCAGCGCCTGATTCTCAACGACACTGCGAAGGATGATTTGACCATCTTGAAGTCTATCAAGTACCTCAAGGAGAAGGGTTTGATGAAAGATCAAGTCGATGCCAGTGCAAAGAATGAGCACGATATCAAGATAGAAGACAACGGTTACATTGAGAACCTGAATTACGGAGACAATTAAGCTACCTGGATAAACCCGGTTACTTCTTCAACAAGGGGTTCTCCGTCAACGATGCGCGATACTCTCAAATTTACTCCGTCACATCTTGCACTCGGAATTTTCGCTTCATCGGCTTACCAAAGTCTGGGGTTGCTTGGCTCGCCCGACACGAGAGAGATTCTCGAGGCCGACTTCCGCTGCATTCCCCATTTGTACTTTGATAGAATAATGTTTGCGTATTTGATTTTGATTTTTAGCACGCTGGCTGGGAAACAAGGGAGACCAATAAGACTGATAGATGGCGTGGCCCATTTCAGCCGTGTTTTACCAAGCCAATGAGCGCGCCTGCCCTATAGCTTTGCGTTTGCGTTTGCTTCCATCTTGTCTTTCCTTTGGTTTAGTGGTACCCTTTCCTTCGACAAACACCCGGTTTAATATGCCTCGAAGTGCAAAAGCTTGTTGGGACAGGCACTTATCAGCTACTCGGATGTCAATTGACAATCTGCGTGGAAGTTGCTGCTTTGCAGCTCTCTAACTATCAAGAGTGAGCAAAATTGTATGATTAGGGAGACTTTATGTGTCTAGCAATAAACCTTTATAAAATACATGTGTCCAAAGCTGCTAGATAATACCCATGGCAAGATTGTCAAATGTATCTACGATGCCATTCTCTACTTTGGTATGCCAACCCAGGTCACTAAACTGAGTAATATGAGGCTTGTGACGTTTGACTTTAGAAGGAACCCCTGTCTGCGCAGAACATGCCCCGGTCACCGGTGACTATTTAATTGCAGACCTAGTGAGTTGGAGACGTGATGGTTAAGGAAGTAAAACTGGAAGATGTTTGCAAAACTCATGAAATTGCATAGCACGATATGGCTGACGCTTGTAAGGTTGACATAAAGGAAGTAATAATAAGGATACGCGAAATGCTATACGTGTGAGGATATATGAACTGGATGGGTTTTGAGAGGTGAGAGTACGAGATCAATGAGTGAAAGGGTCTTGGTGTGGTGTCAGGCCGTTCTCTAGACTAGGAGTAGATAGGCGACTGGAGTCTGGGGGACTGCTAGAGTTGAGGTTTAAAATATCGAATATCAACAGATCACATTGCGATTGAGGGACGTTATTGGTGTTGGATATCAGAATTTCATTGCCCTATCTACAGCAGCACATTTTTTGGTTGCAGAAAGTACGCAAATGCACCTGTACCCATATCCCATTGCACCCCAGAAACCCAGCGAACTCGAGATGAAGCGATTACTTGAGGGGAATGAAACGCGAAGAGTGAGTGGCACCGATACCGGGTCTTCCGTGCTTGACTGGGTGGCTGTAAAATTGTTAGTATCATTCTCCACATCTCTGGATGCCTGCGCATGTTGCTTTGGCAGCCTTGGGAATCAAAAAGGATACGTACTAAGAGATGGAGAATTCTCCCAAATAATGACCGACCATCTCGGGCTTGATCTCGACCTGGTTGAACTCCTTGCCAGAGTAAACACCAATGACACTACCGATCATCTCAGGGACGACAATCATGTTCCGCAGATGGGTCTTGACGAGGTCGGGCTTCTCATTGGGCTTGGATTCCTGCTTGGCCTTGCGCAGCTTCTTGATCAGACCCATGGGCTTGCGCTTGAGACCGCGGTTGAAACGACGGCGGGCGCGGGCGTGTACGACATCACGGAGCTGGTCCGAGGAGAGGTCGAGGAGTCTACGGGGAGAGAATGAGGGTTAGCTTTTTGTTTCCAAAAGATCCCCTTTGTAATTTCTCAAGTGTGTGTGTGGGAGGCATACTGGTCGAGGTCGATACCACGGTACGAGAACTTTCTGAAGGTTCTCTTCTTCTTGATTTCGGCGGCTGCCTCTGCGTCCTGTTCCGGCAATCGAGTGTTAGCTATTGTTCTTCTTGGTAGGGAGGGGTAGACAGATTCATCTCTGCGAGAGCGGGCAGGCATGCAGAGATGGAGATGGAGAGGAAAGAGGCAGATACGCACGTATTCGTCGGCCATGATTGTGGTAGTTGACTTGGGGATCGCTTTTCGAGGGTCGAAAAACGAAGGTCAATGTCGGCGTGATGTTCGATTTTGGCTGGCGGTTGGAATTTTGCGGTTTGAGTGTGGATGCTTAGTCATTAGCGCCAAAGTTATTTGGTAGGGTTCGCTTACCCCAGTATAGTGGGGCAAAGTCAAAGCAAAAGTTCTAGTGAGCAAGTGAGCAAGTGAAGTACGGAGGTGAATTCAACAATTATGAATTCCAAGGACTAAGACGGCTTAATATAAATATATAAATATAGTGCCTCAATATGATCATAATCACAAAAGTTGATAGGTGCATTCTATTGATTTGCAATCGAGACATTAAGCGTCCCATTGGTATTCCATATTGTTTTTCAGTCACGGCGTTCATACTGCTAATACTTTTTGCTCTCTTGAAATAGGACATTTGTCCTTGCAAGATCCCAAGTCCATAAGCAAAGGCTTCCTATTTCTAAGTGTCATATGTAGTTCCACAGGTAGGCCCTGCATCAATGATTGGGCATGGACTTCCCTTATAATCTTCACAGAACTAACGTAAACCGGAAAGTCACCATGAAATCGTATTTGGAAGAGGCACGTCTGTATTGCGCTATCTAGCATGGATAATTGGCCATCCCTCATGAGAAGATCCGCAAATTCCAATTCCGTCCCTTGACTCCCATGACATGCAAAGATCAGGCAAAGTCCGCACAACCCCTTCCCGAAGCCCTGTCCACTTGTATCCGCAGAGAGAGAGCATCGAATGTGTCGTACCGTACATTGACTGCTTAGTCGAAGAGACCGAATCCCATATCCTCGTCGGATTCTTCCTTCTCTGCATAAACCGTCAGCAATAGTTTTTAAGCGCAAGTATATTTTGCGTAACATACCTTCTTCCTTCTTCTCTTCCTCCTTCTCCTCAACGGCACCACCAGCGGCAGCACCACCAGCAGCTGGGGCAGCGCCTCCGGCACCACCTGAGGGAACGGATGCGAGCTTGGATGAGCCCTCAGCGATCAACTATCCGGATGTATTAGCCCTGTATCCTCCATTCTTTTTATATGTGCGGTGTGTATACCTCTTGGAGATCCTTGCCCTTGAGCTCAGAGATGAGAGTGGAGAGACGCTCATCATCAGCCTCGATTCCGACGGATTCGAGAACAGTCTTGACGTCCTTGGCGGAGGGGGTGGAGTTGCCACCGAGGGAGAGGAGGAGGTATGCTGCGAGGTGCTTCATCTTGTTGGCTGGGGGGGATACTGTCAGTACGATTGCCTGGAAGGGGGGTTTCCTCCTTGCGTTGATGCGCGAAGGAGAGAGTCGCAGGAGCCGGCTTACTTTGGTTCGGTTTTTGGAGATGAACAGGAAGATCAATCAATTTAACCGCAGTTGGGCGGAGACTGAATCTATCAAGTTCTTGGTTGAAGTTGTAGATTCGTTGAATGACTTGAACTTTTTCGCAACTCTGGAAGATTGACGATAGCCTTTGTGCGGAATAAGCGAGTCCAATCAAGGCAAGCATCCGGGCGGGTCGCAACATATCCTTGGAGCCAGTCACGTGTGACAACTTATAACTTCCGCATCTACTTTTTCACTTTTGAATATCTCGAGACTTTGGGTATTACACGGTAAAAACCTCACTAATGGATTGACTGAAAGGGCTTCTTTTGTAGGCCTGTATCGTTTGTATTGGTACCAGCTAATCAAAAAAAGCCATTTACATCCCAGCCACCAACGCCAACGCTATGCAATCGTGCCACCACCTATACGTTGCAAGTCCAATTACCTTGGCCATTCGTATTTTCATTAATAGGACTCCGTCTTAATCTTTGACCGAACTGCAATATTGTCGTCCTGAGCTTTGTTAGATTTGCCTATCCTGCACCCAGTGGGAGTAGTTACCTCATGTTTTCGCTTCCCAAGAACAGGTTCCGGTGTGTCTCTCTTAATACCAGCTTTGTTGACATCCTCGTAGCAACTAATATGGTAGATCCGCTGGTTGATCTTCTTGGCATCCATCCAGACAAACTCCTGAGCCTCATCGAGCCACTTCATTTCAAACTTCTCTGTGCAGATAGGACATGTGCTACTTGCAAGTGCAGGGTCATCTGGAACGGGGAGATACTGCAGCTTTGGTTTACTCGTTATACTAGAGCTAGTAACGCCAGAGCCGTTTGTTTTGTCACCATTACTGGTATTCTGATCTCCTTCCACCTCCCGAGACTTGATCCAATCCTGTGACGTGTTAATTATATACTTCAAGAACAAACCTACAGCAAGAACTTACCAATTCATCAACATACCAACTCCGATGTTGCCCTCTTTTCTCCGCTTCCGTCATTCGTTGATGTACTCTGAAGTGCCAATCCATATGGGCTGTCTTTTTCTTTTTGCCCTCTTCATTAGATTGGAACCGCCTGCCGCATTGTGTACACGGTGCACCCAGTTTTTCATAAAGACTGGATATGAGATGTGGACGAGGACTGTTCGTGTTAGCGCGACGAAGTCAACAAGGAATGGGAAGTTGCTTACATTTTCAACGAAGATGTCTTCAGGACGACATCATTCGGTATTTCTCCTAACGGTGTTCTAGATGGGTTTGGGGTGAATGGGGGTCGATACCCAGATATGTTTGCAGGCAACGGAATGTTCGGGGTAGGTGTACTTATGGCAGGTTTTCCTGAGATTATACCAGCTGCCAGTAATTTTTCAAATAGAGAACCCGTATCTGGAACAGGTGTGGGGGCCATGGATACAGGAGGTGGTTTGAAAGGTTGATTAAGAGCTGGTTGTGGTGATCGGGTTTGAATGGGAGGTGTTTGTTTCGCCAGCAGCGCTGCGAGAGTACCCTGTCCCCCCGGACCCAAGAGTGAGCTTAGAGAATTTTGCTGTGGAAGTTGAGCGGGAACTGGGGCAGGGGTAGGAGACTTGGGTGCTTTAGGTGTCGCTTTAGATGCTTCAGAAAGCTTTGCCACTTGGGTCTTGATTTCAGAAATTTGCTGAGGGGGCAATCTTTGACTCTGCATTATAGATTGTAGGTCGAGCAATGCCTTCAGTCTCTTTTGTATATTGCCATCCAACGGGTTCAGAGCAAAGTCTGTCTTGAAAACTGTGATAAGGTTTGCAATATCACTGTTCAGTTCATCTATGCTATTATCATGTGCACTATATCCTTGCTGCGGCGGGGGTTGTTGCCATGATCCCGCACTTGCGTTATGTGGAATGTAATTCTGGGTTGGTGGTCGCTGGTCTTGATTAGTATAGTCAAATTTGCCAGAGGAAGGTCTACTCACAGGTGGGAGTCCATATGACTGTTGGACATGTGGTTGCTGGCCGTATTGTTGGCCGTTCATGGCTGAGGGGTACTGTTGCTGGGGGTAGTTTGAGTTGTATCCTTGTTGTACAGGAGGGGGCTGTCGGTATGCATTTGGTGGAGTAGGAGTCTCGCGGTAGGGAGCAGGCGATGGACCAGGCCGCCCCCGCCCCAGTATTTGTTGCTGGCTTCTGGTGTGTTCTTGCTGAGCCTGTATTGCAGATGTCCTAGCCTTAATCAAAGCATTCTCTATTGGACCTGTGACATCCCGTGGGAAGACCGGGCGTGTGTCCAAAGCTCCTGGTACAGGTTCCTTCCAAGTCTTCAGCATTTCATCCATCTTCCTCCTCACACTGTTGTCCACCAAAGCGTATGCCTCCATAAACGTTGAGTAAAGGCCGCGGGAAAGGAAGATTGTGTACGGTGTCCCAACGTTCTTAATGACGGAGTCAAGAACGTAAAATGCAGGAAGCTTCTTCTGCGGCGAGGTCTAACGGAGTGTAAGTAAACGACCTGATCAAATTTACATGATAGAAAATTTACGCAAACAAACGATTACTAGATAGTCTAGTATGAAATTGAACGAGAAATTATCCTACCTGCTTGATATGGCTCTTCAAGGCCTCGGAAATGGCGAGGGCATGCTCTGTATTCTCTCTTGCGATGACTGTTAGATTGCTGATCTCATATCGTGAATTCATGGTCAAGTCTTCAAGAGCCCTCTTGTAATCCTCCGCAACATCGTCAGAGAATTCGGTGGTCATGATGGGCTATGGAAAGCCGGGAGAATGGAAATGCTTTTGATGAGATGATCTGGCCACAGGCCAAAGGCTTCCACAATGAAAACGGCTTTGTCTCGCAGGAACGAACCACCAAACTTCGGGTAGGAACTTCTTGAGAGCTTTTCAAGTGCAGCTAGCTAGATCCACGCAAAGGGAATCACTCAGAAGAACAAGAAGTGTGTATTTTGATGACTGCCCAATCCACCAGGTGGCCACCGTGCCTCCAAGTCCGTCTTCCTCAACCGGTTCAGCCTTCTGCTGTCTCTTTCGCCCAACTTCCTCTGCGCCCCTATTACGGACCCAATATCAAAGAAACCGAAAGGAACGAAGACGATTCAACGCGATTAGTAGTCCATGCGCATATATTGAGACGAATATTCGTGCTTCCGTCGATACGTCGTGTGTTTGGACTGTGCTGATTTGGATTGAGGTCGTTGTCGTTGTTGTTGTCTAAGGATGACAAGTCTACCGAAACAGAGACGAAGCTCGGGCTCGGGGAGCGGTTGCGGCTGCGGTTCTTTGAATAACTCAACGAATGCTGACTAACGCAGTGGGGTCTCAAAGTCTAAGAGCGAAATTGGCAAGGCGCGGGTAGTCACTTTCAACCTCACATTGCAAAACATCTCACAACCATCGAGAAGCAGTAACACTTCAAAACTGAAAATGAAGATCGCCATCTTCTCCGTGGTTGCGCTCGCCGCACTTGTCTCTGGCCTCCTGCCCCAAAAGTCTGTCATAATTACATACCCGGATGCGACTCCAAATGACATAATAGACTCTGCAAAGAGTACCATCAAGGACGCTGGAGGAACCATCACCCACGAATACAAGCTAATCAAGTAAGTTGGCCTTGTTCAATATATTGCTGCTCTCTAACTTCTGATAGGGGTTTTGCTGCAAAGGTGCCTGCGTCAGCCCTCGAAACTTTTACAACCTCGTCAAAGGAATATCATGCAGTTATTGAAGAAGACCAGATGGTCTCCATTAACGGATGATCATAAAGTCTACAAACACATAATCAATCTGGCGTACGGTTTCATGGCACGGATGGAGTAAGAAAGGAGGGGCGGGACGGCGCATAGGTGTATGGTATAACTGTTGGGCTAAACAAATTGAGCTCATTCAAATTGGCACCGAGCAACTTGTGCGTGATTAGAAAAGTTCTGTCCCCACACATGGTACAGTACCCTTGGACCTTTCATCTATATTACGGCTGAGAATGTGCAAAATGGACATGACGTGGTATGTGCCTAGACTCTGTTACGGTAAAGGTAGTTCTACAGATATTCAATCGGGCATCCTCCAGGTTCTATCCAAAGTTTGACGCCCAGAACTCCAGTGCTCCACTGGCTATGATACTCAAACCCCCCTACAGTATACCATCTTTCAATCCAATGGCCGATTCTACTATTGTTTGTTAGCTACTCTGTAGCCTTTATCAAATGGCTATTTAAACGTACAATGACATGTAGCGACGCCCTTTCTTGAAATCGCCGGATATAGACAACCAAATTCTTTATTCCATTTGCGACCATAAAGAAATATATTTCAGGGTTCTGAAAACAGCCCTTCGCAACAATCAAGATTGTGGGGTTGTCATTAAACACATAGGAGTAAATAAAGCTCAGGGGCTCTAGCCTTTGATAGCCGGATCGCGTCGTAAAGCGCTAGGTTTATCCATTGTCGCGACTGACTTCGAAACAAAGTCAGTTTGTAATAAGATAAATGCAATGCAAGCCTGGCTCTCTAAGATGTCATACTACTTTGGAAATTCATTCACAATCATAGATCAGTACAACACTGCTTCCGCCCCTTTTGCCTGACTTCACACCACAACAACGCTTTCGAAGGATAGGAAACTATGCCTCACACCCAACCCACAGCCACAGAGGCAGCTCTTCTAAACTGGGTATTATCTTCCTTTTCGCGCTCCTATATACTGAAAGGCCTTTTCTGACTATTTTCGCAGATAAACACGTTCCCGCTCGACTCCGAGGTCGAGTCTCTGGTAGACCTGACCGATGGCCGAGTTCTGTCCCTAATGCTTGGTGAGTACATCCTAAGAACCCTTTGTCCCAGTACTAATTGATGATATCACAGAGGACCTCGATCCCGCCTATGCCGTCGAACTCGAGAAACCTACCCCTTCCTCGAAATGGCTCGCGAAGAAGCGCAGTTTGGAAGCAGTTTACAAGTCTTTGCTACGTTATGTCCGCGTTCAATGCCCCGATCTCGATCCTATGACACTGGAGAATCCGGCAGATTTCAATGCTATTGCAGAGCACGATGATGCGGAACAAACGATTAAGGTAGCGACTTACGAAATGAAACTCCAAGTCCGCCTCACTGACATCTGCATCCAGCTTCTCACTATATTCCTCCTGGCAGCTGTACACGGTACGAATAAGGCGAAATGTATCAATACAATTCAGAACAAGCTCGACCTTACCTCGCAAAACGAGATAGCTAGCGTTATACAAAGGGTAAATCCCAAAAGCTCCACACCCAATGCAGCGGCTGACATTTCTATTAGACGCAAACAAACGAGAAGAATACGGATGCGAAAGCCATTGACGAAACACTTCCTCACAAGATACACCAAGACATCGAACTCGCTCTCGAAGAGGAACATGCTAAGCTATCTGCTGCGTACAGCGACTTGAAGAAAAAGCACGCTGATTACATTACTCGATTTAGGCGTCTAGAAGAGAGTCATGCGGAGCTACAGGAGCATAGCAGCGAGATAGAGAGTCGGTTGCGGGTTCTACAGGACTCAGATGACGGGGACAAGGTAGCCCACATCAAGGACTTAATGACCCGGCTCCAAGAGGCCAATGACCTGATAGCAAGTCAAGAACAACAAGTAGAAACCGACAGAGTCACCAAGGAGCGACAAGAGAAAGAACTCGGCAATTTGCGGCCATCTGCCCAGCGACTCGTCCAGATCGAGGATCAGCTCAATGAGCTCAAAGTCGAGAACACGACACTAACCCGGAAAGCAAATAAGGTAGACCACTATCAGAAGAAGCTCGAAAATCTACAGAATATCGAAAGGGAGAATGCTCACCTGCGTGAGCAAATCGAGACCCTAGAACTCAACATGAGAGAATTTGATAAAGTCAACGAAGATAAGTCTAAAATGGAGCAGACTATTCGGGAGTTTAAGAGTTTAATTTCCAATCTCGAGCTGGAGAATGTCACCCTGATTCAAAACAAAAACCGCCTTGATGATGAAGTGCGATTTCGGGATGACCAGATTCAGAAGCTCCATGAAAGGCAGCAACACGATGAAAAGTTCATCAAAGACCTCCAAGAACAGTTCAACACCGATGTGGCAGGACCTTCGCCTCCATCCCCATCAATGGGACACGCCAAACTCACTCTTGAACAAGAGCTTGAGCAGAGTGACGACCCCACGCCAAATTATGCTCTTGAGATCTCGAGACTGAGGGCTGAAAATCAAGTCCTCAAGAGTAGCACAGGTGGAGTAACAAACGCCAACCTTCGAATAGATCTCGAAGAGGGAGAAAGAATACGGAAGAGACTGCAAGAAAATTACCAAGGGCTCTTGGAGAAGCACACAATTGCGCAGCAGCAATTGAATGCAGCACTCAGCAATTCTTCGGATCCAAAGTCAGTCACCCTTATTGATAATATCCTGAAAATTGGTCCGTATAAGCTTCTCACCGACGATGTTCACAGGGATGAGGCCTTCCGCAACCTACAAAGACTCTACCATGAAAATACTGCGGAGCTAGCCTCAACAAAATCGAAGCTCGAAGAAACTCAGTCGAGACTTCAAAGTCAAGAACGGGAATTACTTGATACAAAGGCCAATTGTAAGCAAGCTTATGTCCTCTCCTATAAAACTGACGTTACTGACCTGAAACTAGTGGAAGCCGTCAATCAAGACGAAATTGACGCTTTAGAAACCCTCAAGGAAACAAACGAGATCATCACCACCTCGCTCCAAAATGACCTCCTTGTCCTCCAAAATGCTCACAAAAATATTACTATTGATTTCGACCAGCAGAAAACACATTTGCTAAATACACTTTTAGTAAAAGATCAGTTAATAAAGGATCTAGCAGATGCTAGAGCTGATGACGGTAGCAATTCTCAACTTGACGGAAAGGAAAAGGCAGAGGTAAGCCACGGAACCGATTCAAAACCGGTGCGAAGTCTTTCTACGCATGGCAAAATCTTGGAAAAAATCTTCCGTCCATTTCGTCCACAAGCTTCTAGGCCAGAAAGTCTTTCTGCGGCCACTAAAACCTATGCCGATACACAACCTCCTAGCCCAAATAGATTTTCTGCGGCCTCCGAACTCGATGCCCACTCACATTTAGATGTAGAGCTTGCTCGTGAACTTGCTGCAATTGGCAATGGGCCTCCAGTGGAACTCCCAACCCTCTCACCTCGCGTTATACCTCTTCCTATGTCTCTAGGACTTGTCAAACAAGCACCGGATGTCGTCCACCGTGCTCAAGCAAAAATATTGAGCAGCTCCAACTGACATGTTCACTACAGATCCAGAAACAAGAGCTCGTTATTCAAGACCTCCAAAGAAGACTTAAAATCGCCGAAGAAAGTAGCCCTGATGCGCAGAAGGTACCGTGTCGAATTTTCCTTTTTGTCTCTATGGATGTGCCATATATTTACAGTTTTAATAAACATTGTTTTTTCACAATTACTTTTGTCTCTATGTTTGGTGAACACACCTAGAGCACCACTGATGAATCATGTGAAGGCCGCAAATGAGTCCATGATCAAGAACCTCACACGCGAGAACGCCCTGATTGCCAGCGCATGGTACGATCTCTCGAGCCGATTGCAGAGTAATCATGTGGTCTTGCAGCGCAGACAAGATGCGCCGAAGAGTTGGTTGAACAAGCAGAGGCAGATGGTGAACTCTACGCCTCGGAGGTGAGGTGGTACATGTTTTGGTTATTAATTATGGGGATACTATATATGCATGCATTGGGAGGAGCATCTGTGGAAGAGCGCGGTTGATTGGCATTTTTTGGATGAGGGTGGATAGATTTTTGGGAAGGAGAGTACGGGTTATAGAGTAGACTTGTGGGGTGGTTTCAGTTCCTTGAGACTTCGCGTATACCCTATAGATGACACTTAATACATATTTCATTCCTTGCAGCAGCGATAGTTCGTTGGCATCTGACTCCATTGTATCCTGAACATTTCTTGGGGCAACTTTCTCTCCAGCAACACCTTGTGCACTGTTTCAGCCCGTAGTATGGTAGTCTTGTATTCAGACGGTGTTGCCTTACTTTACTACTATTGGTGTATGAATCTCTCTTGCTAAGTTTGTCAAGATCTACGAGATGTAGACTCCCTGTGCAGAATACTTGCCTGTCAAAATACACCCAACAATGTGTATCCACCAGGCATAAAGCTCCAATGCTCTTGTCGTTTCATCCTAGATACGTAAGTTTCACTTCGCCATTATCGAGATGCTAGTTCCTTCGCATGCGTAAAGGTTAATAATCTTAACCTCTTCAAAGCTTCAGTGGCTCCATTACTACGCAGTACGATACATAGGTAGGATTCTACCCTAGCTTTGATTGTCTTTGGAGATATCTAGAACCTCTGTCGTTTGTCCTGCGGCGGGGCTTCTAGATTGGTATTGGCTCCAGCTAGTACTGTTCCACAAAAGGACGGTACCTCTCGATGGCTGGTAGACAGCCCTTGGGATAATTGCAGTAAGCAGGTGGAGTATCGGCATAGTATAACCTAAGACCCAAAGTGGAGTAATACATATTTCACAGAAGGCGATTTATTTCACGTTGTAAGGGAGATACTATATTTGAAGGCAAGGGATTAGTATCTATCTATAGTCTTTGTAAGTTCACACTCTCTCTAAATCTAAATTTGAGACAGAAAATATATATATATATATCCAAGCAAGCGTTTGAGGACTTCGGCTGATGGTGAATGTACCGTAGCGGGTGTTCTTCGTCTTCTGGCAGCAAAACAGCAGAAGACGGGTGCCACGGCAAATTACTCGCACGCAAAATTCTCCGCCACACTCGTATTCCCAGACCCTTTATAAATCTGCTTCTTCGGATACAAACACAACGGTCTTTCAATAACATTGCCTTGGGAATCTGCAGCGCTCGTTCCTAGTAAAGTGTCCGGTGCAGTTCCATTCTCCACCCACGTCTGCAAGGCTTCAAAAGCACCGGCCGGATAGCCGCCTAAGCCCCCATCACAATGTCCTAATCCCGGTGAGAAGAATAAGCGATAGTAGTCTTGTACGCTCTGGTCCACGGCTGTTGCAGCATCGTAGTAATGCTGCGTAGTCATCGGAGGAATAAGAACATCAGATAGTCCGTGGTATGTGATCATCTTTCCGCCACTGTCCCGAAATGCGCTGAGATCAGGGTCGTCGGTGCCGTAGATTGATGTGTATTGCTGCACTGATATTCTGAAGAGGTCGTCATAGTATGTTTGAGTCATGGTTGAGAGGTCGACGGAAGGATCTTTGGCGAGGAAATACTGAAGCCAAGTATTGCATAGAGGAGGCGGTGACCTGCTGCACGTCCCATTTGTACATGAAGTTTCCGCCAGTCCGCTTGACCCCGTGATCGCAGCGTCCTTGTTCAAGCCAAACCAGAGAGATTCATTGCGGTCATCTCGAGCTCCTCCCCATACAGCCTGGACCACTTTCACCGCCGCGTCGCTGATTGTAAGAGGGCCGGCTGCATCCGAACAGTTAACTGGTCCACCTACCACTGTGCTGGGATCAAAGTTGCACGCTTCGGGATCGGTGATAATTCCATCGACAACCCCATCGAGTTCATCACACGCATTGATTGCCGCTGTCCGTATAGCCTCGAGTTCGCATGCGTATGGGTACTGTTTAAGTTGATCCATGACAAATGTGGGATAGTAATCTCCAATAGCCCACTTGTTCCAGCTGATAGCAGGAGATGCAGCCAGGATCCCGTCATAAAGATCAGGATATTGCTGTGCCAGCATGAGACCCTGTCTCCCGCCTTGCGAGCAACCATTCCAATACGAGAATTTAGGAAGTTGACCATAGTAACTCTCCACAAAGTCCTTTGCCAACAAAGTAGCGTCGCTGAGCGATACCGAGGCGAGGTTTTGTAGGGCGTAAAGGTCGACGTTGCCAGGACTGAGCAGTGCCCAGTCTTCAGGTTGCAGGTCTACAGTTTTCTGGGAGGGAAGACCGGCATCTAGGGTGACTGCAGCGTAGCCCTGTGATACAGCGAGTGCCATGCCACCAAATGCCACATCGTTTAGGCCGGCGCCATATGACCCACCACCAATTCCTTGCATTCGTTCGGTATAAGTGGTCGATGGGAGCCAAACCTGGAAGAAGTCAGTATTGCTTCTTTGATGGAGAGTTATTGTATAGAGTAGCTTGGCTTTTCGGCTATCAGAAGTGTCTGAAAACTTGACTTACTTGGACGCGGAGTGTATCATTCTGGCCAGGGTGGGTATAGGTGACAGATACATTGCAGAAATTCAAACCACCGTACGTTGGATAGTACGGATAAGCAAGTGATACATTCGTCAACTGGGTTGCTCCTAATTCTATTATAGATGCGCCAAAAAGAGTGACATTGCTGAATGTGGAAGAGATGCAAGAGAATAGCGGAGATGTTAAGGGAAAACTCATTGTAAAGACTGTATAGTATCAAAGCAAGAAGGAAATAAAAGAGCAAGGTAAAGAGCTTGAAATCAAAAGAAGAGAAATGAAATCATCTCCCATAGGAAGGTCTTATACTCGAGCAAAGTTCTTATTTATCTCGTATACCGTAAACCCTCGCATTCATCGAAAGGGCTTCGAGTTCGAGGCTCTAAGCGAGGGCTAGATAGCCAATGGGATAGTCCAGTATGCGCCAATACGAGTACCGAGTCTCTCAACCCGAGTACCGTACCGAAGATTGCCTTGATAACGTATACAAGTACATATATCGGACGCCATCATAAAAGACATAAAAGAACATAAAAGAAGGATCAAGTTCTTCGGAGGATAATTCCAGCGTACGTCACATCGAGTAATCGTATTTGTTTAGACCCGGCCAAGGACCGAGCTACCCCCTCCCCTGATGTGCGCAATGAGACCACAACCGCTGACTCAGACAACATGTCATGTTCCATCTTTTGAAAGAAGTTGAAAACGATCGCGAGTATTGGAAATAAAAGGCATTTCAATCTGGGTAGGATTGGAAACTAGATTTGGGGTAAAGCGTACGTATTTGGAGCCAAGGCTTTGACCTAAAAGATAAGGAAAGAACGAGCTAATTTGGAAGGAAGTCTCAACTTGAGAGAAGGGATAGTCTTTTATCAGATTTCAGATAAACTATCTTACTATCAAACTCATCAACCATTAGACTATGGTCTTCGAGTTTATTTAAATCAAACCAAACTCAGAACTAGTCCCCACAATCCAGACCCCGGACACAACTTCCGTGCTGCTAAGCGCTAGCGCTACCCCAGTCTTTCTGCCAACTCTCTCGATTCACGATCGATGACAGACGGGAGTCTGTTCCGATGCGAAGTGCAACAGAATTAAATAGAAATCGCCAGTATCACTCCTTTAGGTGTTCGTGAACCTGCGTCCTGGACTTTCATTCGACGGAAGGGGAAACAGACGGGGTTGAGTGAGTGAGTCGGAGTCTTGACCGTCTCCGAGCATGGCCCTGAGGGTTCCGAGACGTTCGTGATCGATCGATGGGTGACGTTGAGATCGATGAGACGATGCTTTTTTAAGGAGAGAGATATCGGAAGGATACATGAGTTGCTTCGTCTTGTTGTATCAAGTGGATAGAAAGTTCAAAGTCCACATTATTATTGATCAAGGACCGAAATTGAGATATTTCAAGCCGATCAAGTAACTCTTCTTCCTATCGAAGTCTTGGTCTTTTCCTTTGAGCAGTAAGTACACGCGATGGGTCTAGCATCAGTCTCTCGCCCTGCTATCGAGCCATGAGTACATTACTGCGTACACGAAAGGTTGGACTGTCTCTAGCCGAGGTATGGAAACCCGCTGCTTCTTTTCTCCAATTGAAATAAACATCATCCCTTTCTTCCCCACGACAAGAAGGCCTTTGGGCCATGGTACGTGCACCTTCAACTCCAAAGTTAGACTCTAAGCAAAAACTTTTTCCTCCTTCCCTCCATCCTTCATTCAGATTCCCTTTCCCCACTCCTCTCGCTCATACTTTTTATATCCCATCTTGAAGTAATCATTATCTCCCGCCTGGTCCAGTAGCGCTAGACGCATCTCTATGGCAGTTGCTTTGATTTTCTGTCCTTCTCGTTAGCCCCTTCCTTCTTTTCTAATCAGATGAAAAGTGAGATGAATGATGGGCTTACATGTCCATTTAGCTTAGGAAACCTCTCTCCAATCAACCTCACAATGTCGTTGGTCTTCCATCTCTCTCGACGCTCCTCGTAGCGGGGCGCACGCCCGTTTCTATCTAGTGGAGCATGAGTTGCGAGGTAGGCGATAAAGCGGTCGTGAAGGGCGTTCCAGCTTGGTGGGAGACCGACACAGGAGGGTTGGTGGAGAGAGACGACTAGAAGATATTAGTATGGATGTTAATAGGGAGTTGGGGGGTGGATAAGTGTTTTGTCCATCGAGAGTATGAATGGGATGGGATAGAGATGGCTAGGAACAGGATACTGACTCTCGGGGCCTGTGGGACGTTTGTAGGTGTAGGTATAAGTGGCTGGGGAAGAGGTCGTGTGGGGTTGAGTGTCATGGTGTTGATGGTGGCTTTTTGGCGTGGACTAGGGAGATTGTCAGTCAAAAATTCCGACAACGAGGGAGGACTCAAAACGTCAAGGCTAAAGGGTTGGAAACCAACTTCGTTGGTCCGGCTGTGCTGTCGTTGTGGCTTGGGAGGTACGGGCGGTCTTTCATTGTGAGTCTGGGTGCTCCTGGACGCTGTCCTGACATGAACTTGAACCTGATATAATGTCAGTCGACAGAACTCCACATGTTGTTGCTGATTGATGTTGCCTAGGGGAAGGGTACCATCTTCTTCTCTTTCTGACTGTCGCTCAAACGACTACCCTTTTTAGTGTTACTAGATCCCCGAGGGGGCACTGGGGGTTGATATTCATCGGGCTCATCAAGGTGCCTGTTGAGAATGTCCATGAGAACTTCACGTTGGTGGTCAATTGACTTGCTTCCGCTCGAGGCCGCTGGAGAGGATCGATGAAGCATTGGGATGGACTATTGCACGGGCGATAAAAAGAATAGTCAAATTCGGGGAATCTTGGAAAAACAGCTGCCACCGAAAGGAACAAAATATATGACGAAGAGGATGTTTTGAAATATCTCAATGGGACAGTCACATCTGCAGACTGACTGTCAAAGATATGGGACACTCGCCCTATTTATCCCAAAACGCAAGGAAAAGGAAACTTTAACAAGACATTCAACCCCAGCGCCTCTTCATATGGGGATATGTGTATCTTCCGACTGTACCAAAGCCAAATGAAATAAACTATGATTGTTACACTGTTGACGGAACACTGCATAATCGTACCCGCATATATTGGAACGGATGTCTACAGGTCAGCAGAAACGGATCGGAGTTCAGCTTCCCCAGAAAATTTTCACAAGGAATAGACATGATCTAAAGCTGGATCTGAAGTCGAGGTGTGCATGAGGCATTAACATTCTTTGGTGCATTTTACACTCAAAGCATTGGTGAATTATACATGAAGCCCCTGAACGGGCATGACACCCATGTGTAGATTGGTCGTACTCGTACAGTCAGTCATGTCCCGCCCATTGAAAGTAGTGCAAACGTAAATGCCCGAGCTTGGACTATTAGCCAACCGTAACTTTTAAGGAATCTATCGCAATATTGTCTCCACAGCATTCCTCCGAGTCTAATGCAAAATATAAATTTAGCGACCAGTGATTTTGCTAAGCAAGCTCCCGCTCTTGCCTTGGCTCGCTGACTGCTCGAAGACCCCGAGAAGGCTTTTCCAGACCTGCCCTGGTTCTTGGCTTGCATCGATGCCCTTCCAGATACCAGTCTTTTGGTAATATCCAACTACCGGAGCTGTTTGCTGGTGGTATGTGACCAGTCGCTTCTTTAGAGCTTCGGCATTGTCGTCTGATCTTTGGACCAGTGGCTCGCCAGTAACATCATCCTTCATAGTTTCTTTGGGTGGGTTGAAGACCTTGTGATATGATCGACCAGATGCTGGGTGAACCAGACGACCAGTTATCCGCGAAACAAGGAGGCCGTCATCTATTTGAAGCTCTACAGCATGCTGTAACGTCTGCTTGCGCTCGTTCAACATAGAATCTAACCGCTCGGCTTGGACGACCGTTCGTGGGAAACCATCGAGGATGAAACTATGGCTCAATGTTAGTATAGCCTGGCAGAGCAAACTCTAGGAGCAAACCTACCCTCCGGCGCACTCTTGGTTTGTCTCCAGCTCAGCCTTGATCATGCCAATAACAATTTCGTCACTGACAAGACCTCCCTGGTCCATAATCTTCTTTGCTTCCCGACCTAAAGGTGTCTTCTTTGCTACTTGCGAGCGAAGCATATCCCCGGTTGCCTTTTCACGCGTCAGCAAATGCCGAAATATACTAGGCAAACTTTGCAATAACATACTAAATGGCAGCAAGAGAACTTCTCTTTAATCTTGGGTGCTTGAGTCCCCTTGCCTGCAAATTGCGTATTAGCCGGAGTTCCAGAATCTTTGCAACATGTGCCGGCAGCCCGGGGTTGACGTGTACATACCAGCGCCAGGAGGACCCATCAAGATCATTCTAACTCCCTCAGTTGGCGTATGCTTTGTGCCCGTCGAGACATCCTCAAGCTTGTCTTCCAATTGCTTAACCCTGGACTCGAGCTTCTGGACCAATTCTTGCAGTGTATGCACAGTGTCGTCGCCAATTGGTGCCATTGTAGAGCGTGGATAGTGACAAAGACCTGACCAAGGCAGGAGTGAAAGGAGGAAGTAGGGGTCTCAGTAAAGAGGTTTTCGTGAGGAGTGGAGAGGTGGAAGATGGTTGCGACAGCTTGAAGTCAAGGAAACGTTGAGGAAGCTTGGTCCAATCCAAGAAATATCGGTACCTAAGCTCGGCTGCTTACTTGTCGGACTTGTCCCGGAGTATCGTTCCTGTGGGCCGAGGGATGTCGAACTTCAAGATTTCTAGTTCGAAAGAAAGGGAAGAGCTCATAGCAATGAGATTTTATATTCGTTTCCCTTTTATTTTATTTCATAGTGTGTTAATAATATACGCAATTTCCAGAAGCTTTACAACTCAAGAGTCATGTGACCACGTCTTCGGGCGCTAGTTCTCTTTAGGAGCTGTGGTCTGGGAAGCTGCAAGCAAGCCGCGAAACTCAAGGCAGCCTTACAAAAGTTGAATCAACAACCTCACGAATTCCGCCTCATAAATCACCATCCACCTCCCATACCCACCATGCCTGCCACTACTGCTGAGACGCTCTCTCTGGTTACTAGAAACGTTTCTGTTGCTCCCCTGGTCCTCCTTTCCGCCGCAGATCACTATGGCCGCTCAGCGAAGGGCACGCGGAAACGAGTAGTGGGTGTTTTGCTAGGACAGAACGATGGAAAGAATGTGCGGGTGTCAAACAGCTTCGCTGGTATGGACCCCTCAATAGCCTTGCTATTTTGTAATTTGAAAGCTCTAATGGTTGACCATTCTACAGTGCCTTTTGAGGAAGACGACAAGGACCCATCAGTATGGTTTCTGGACCACAACTACGTCGAGTCAATGAATGATATGTTCAAGAAGATCAATGCGAAGGAGAAGCTGATAGGCTGGTATCACTCTGGGCCTAAGTTAAGAGCTTCGGACTTGGAAATCAATGAGCTGTTCAAGAGATATACACCTAATCCTTTACTGGTCATTATCGACGTTCAACCGAAGGAGTCTGGCGTACCAACAGATGCGTACTTTGCAGTTGAAGAGATCAAGGATGTATGTGTTTTTAACAGCTGCATGGCGATTCTGGGCTAATATTTCTATAGGATGGAACCACAACATCTAAGACATTCGTACATACCCCTTCCATCATCGAAGCTGAGGAAGCCGAGGAGATTGGAGTCGAGCATTTGTTGAGAGATATTCGGGATGTCGCTGTGGGGACTTTGTCAACAAGAATTACATCACAACTTCAGTCACTGCAAGGACTGCACTTAAGGTTACGAGATATCCAGCAATACCTACAAAAGGTTCTTGATAAAACTTTACCAGTCAACCATGCTATCTTGGGCAACCTCCAAGACGTATTTAACCTCTTACCCAATCTCTCTACACCAAAGACCTCTTCACACGTCCCCAATGGCGTCGATGCGCCAGTCAAGAACGACAGCGAATTATCACATGCTATGAGCATCAAGACCAACGATCAGCTCATGGCTATTTACCTTTCCAGTTTGATTCGTGCCATTACCGCTTTCCACGACCTGATTGAGAACAAAATCCAGAATAGACAGCAGCAAGAGGATAAAGAGGCTAAGAAGGACGAGGGCAAGGATGAGAAAGACAAGAAGACGAATGGAGTAAATGGCGTTAATGGGGAGGCGAAGGAAGGCAAGGAGGCAGAAAAGGATAAAGAGGACAAGGATAAAAAGAAGTGATGATGACGAACACGGCGTTTAATGATATCGGGTGTTTATTGAGCATCAGAGCGAAGTGGCATATTGAACATCATGGGATTCGATGTGCCATTTGTACCATAAATGTGTAGCTAGATGAATAGCAGTTACGCAATGTCTTCCTATATCTCGGTGCAGCTCTTGCTTTGAGAATGTTGCCCTCCAACCTGACTGAACGCCCCTTGATTATCCCTTTCCCTTCCTATGCAAACCTAACCATAATCCTTTTCTGAAAACGCCATGCCGACCTAATTTTTCAACAAACCTCGACGCTGATTCAAACGATTCTGGGCCCAAACACATAGACAAAGATCCCACAACAACCCCTCCCTCATTCACTCACTCAGCCCCCAACCCAGCCATCTCCTCCCTCCCCACTTCCCTCTCCTTAAAATACGCCCCCAAGACATCCCCCCACCGTTCCACAAGCACACAAGCAAGTAAATGCTTACAAACCGGCACTCCTCCACCTCCACCACCTCCTCCGCCTCCCATCCCATCAAAACTCAAACCCCCAAACTCCCATCCCCCATCTCCTTCTCCATCCCCTTCAAACCCCTCGCCATGGCCCTCAACACCGAACCCAGGCGCAGACTGCGACAGGAACGAAGACGGGAATGAAGAAAATGCAAACGCAGCACACGTGCAAGACCACGCCTGCAGCCTAACGATATACACCTGTCCTTTACCCCCACCGTGGTCTTTAAACCGGGAGAGCTGCTGAGATGATCGGACTTGGTATACCTGGTTCTTCCTCGTTTCTTCTTTCTCTTGAACTCCTGGCTCTGGGAGTAGGTGGATGGGAGCTTGAGATGGCATAATTATTGCTTTTTGAGACTGTGGTGCTGCATGTGGATGTGGATTTTGATTTGGATGGAGTTCCGTGATACGCGTGACGAGACCGCGGTCTAGGAGGTCCAGGGATTGGAGGAGCATGCCAGGGGGAAAGAGCACGTGCAGGGTCGTTAGTAGAGCGCGGTGAGAGGGCGGGAGGGCGTGTAGGGGGTTGGTGGAAGTGGATGTGAATGTGGATGTGGAGGAGGAGGCGGAATAGGGGGTGTTTGTTGTTGGTTGGGTTGCCTGGGGAGGGGTGGTGAATGTATTGAAGAGGGTGGTTAAGAGGATCCTGGGTGCTGGGAGGGTTGTCATTGTGAGGATTTCAGGTGTAGATTCAGAGGATGTGGGGAGGTGATCATTGTTTTGAATAATGAGCGTTCGATGAGGGTTTTGGGATTGTGAGATGGAGATGATTGAATGATGTTGAGACTCGGTTCCACTCCGTAAGTAAGCCTTATGAAAGGAGAGATCATCACGTGTATACGATGCCTGAGAATTCCTTGGGTACTTATTACACGCTTTATTTTTGCTTTTTATACTTATATAGTAGTACATTCTACCGTCATCTATACATTCAAACCCACTCCCTAGGCTCTCTCAGCGTGTCCACCAACCGCTGCTCCCTGCTTCCCTTTTCAGGCTCATACATGTACCTCCAGCTCGCAGTCAAAGGCAAACTCATGAGAATGCTCTCCACTCTGGCACTAGGTGTATTCAAACCAAACGCCGTCCCTCTATCATGCACCAAATTAAACTCCACATACCTCCCCCGCCTAATCTGCTGCCACTCCTTCTCCTTCTCGGTATACGGCATATCCTTCCTCTTCTGAATGATCGGGATATAACTTGGCAAGAAAGCCTTCAAACAGCTCTGCGCAAATGCGAAAGTATTCTCCTGGTCCTTCTCTTGCCCATCTAGATCATCGAAGAAGATTCCTCCTATGCCCCGAGACTCGTCGCGGTGCTTGTTATAGAAGTACTTGTCACACCATTCCTTGAAGCGCGGATAGTATGATTTGTCGTGCTTGTCGCAGGCCTCTTTTATAGTCTTGTGAAAGTGGATGGCGTCTTCGTCAAAAAGGTAGCTAGGTGTAAGATCGGTACCGCCACCGAACCACCATGCATTTGGAGTTCCGTCTGGGTTTGCTGTCTCGAAGTAGCGGTAGTTCAGGTGGACTGTTGGGGCCATGGGATTTTTCGGGTGAAGAACCATGCTTAACCCTGCCGCGAAGAACTCCAGCGAGTTGACTTCGGGGTCGATGGCCTTGTGGTTTACTCGCATTTTCTCAATTGCTGCTCGAGGGAGAGTTCCGTAGACGATACTGATATTCACACCGGCCTTTTCAAAAACATTGCCATCTTGTAGGACACTTGAGATCCCGCCGCCTCCATGCTCCCGTGTCCATGTATCGATTTGGAACTTTTTGCCGTCTACAGCCTCCAACTCCTTTACAATTTCTTTCTGTTGTGATTTTATGAATTCCTCCATTCGTAAACGCATGGGTGAGTTCTCTGTAACACCATCCTGGCGCTTGGCCAGGGTGTCTCGATCCGCAATTGTAGGCCCATCGAGCTTCGTAGGTTCGTCTGTCGCCTGCAGCTAATTAGACCAAGATCCCCTCCATTGATTTGAGCAGAGGGGAAATTACCATTGAATATATCATCGCTCCAATAAAGACTATTCCGAATGCAATTCTTGTCTTGGGAGCAACGACGCCCTTTGGAGCTTCACGTTCACTCGGTTTACGACGAGGGTTTGGAGGAGTAACGAAGGTCCTTCTTTGTAAAAGAAGCTGCTGTGCTCGCGGCCGGAATTTTGAGACGTTGCGTAGACAAGGTCTGAAGGAAGTAAAAGAAGACATAATGAAAGCTTTAAGAGGAAGAGAATGGCGACTATCGTACAATTAACATGAGACCACAAATCAGTACGAAGAGACCGAGTTAACGGGTGCAACCGATAGTGAAGAGAGATAGAGTGGAACGTTTATGACAGAGAATCTGGTATGAATGAGGCGATTAAGCTATCATACTTTTTGGCGACAGGGCACCATAGTAGCACTTGTTGCAGGGATTCTTCGCGGCGAACCAACTCGAGCTCCGATTGAAGAACTGCCTCGTGATTCGTCAACTTGAACAATAAAGAACAGTGAGTGAATGGAATCAAATGCGGTAGTATAGATGTATCCCATTCACAGCATCTGATCAGCTAAGGTATTTAATGCATCTCGCAAGAACCTGGCCTCTCAAAAGACATCAAACTCTTGACCTGACAGTAAAAGTAAACACTTTGTCTTACCCAAAGTCTTTGGTCACCTGCTTCACCCACCCGCCACAGAATAGGTAGTGACACACCGCTGCTTTTTAGCGCATCTTCTCAGCCCCCCGCCATTTAGGCAAGCTCTCCATCCACGCCTTATGTCTTCCATTACAAAGAACACTCTCCCTACCCAAACCCAACCTCAACCGTCTCCAACCACCAAAGATACACCACCCGCGACCGATATCTCTACCAAATCATCCACTATGCGATCCAAGTTTAAGGACGAGCACCCGTTTGAGAAACGCAAGGCTGAGGCCGAACGCATCGTAAGTACCCTGTCCTGTCCCCCACCAACGGCCGCATCATCATCATCATCATCCATCAACCAACCAACCATCAAACTAACCTCTGCCTTCTCTCTGCCAGCGCCAAAAGTACTCCGACCGTATCCCCGTCATTTGCGAAAAGGTCGAGAAGTCGGATATCGCGACGATCGATAAGAAGAAGTACCTGGTCCCCGCCGACCTGACCGTAGGACAGTTTGTCTACGTGATCCGCAAACGCATCAAGCTCTCACCCGAGAAGGCCATCTTCATCTTCGTCGACGAGGTCCTGCCACCTACAGCTGCCCTGATGAGCAGCATTTACGAGGAGCACAAGGATGAGGACGGGTACGTATTCACCTTCCGGTCGTAAAGCGAGGAGGCTGGACATTGCGGGTTGTTGAGGATAGCAGGCTGACGATGATTCACACAATAGATTCCTGTACATTTCTTACTCCGGCGAGAACACCTTCGGTTCCTTTGAAGAGATGTCTTAAACCTCCCTCGTAAATCTTATCATCGGCGTTCCGGACTCTCACGGCGGCTCCCCCTTTAACGACATTTGTGCAACAACCCCAAGAATGGCAGTCTTTTCCTCCGTCACGCTTTGCAGGATTACTCGAGTTACAACAGTCGGTTCAGCAGACAGATACAGAGATAATAGGGTGGAGAAGCATGGTTCTCCTTTGTTTTGTTCGTCCCAAGTCTATCGATGACGGTCTTCTACGCATGTGTGCAGGCCTAGCTTTTGGGCAAGGCTGTGGTACAGATTGAGTGAACTGGGTTGGGGATTGGGACTGGTTAGGCTGTTTTCGATCTCTTAAGGCTTGGGAATAGGTGCAATACGATGCTTTCTGCCGTGACTATTTTACATGCATGATGAGGAAATAATCTCTTCACGAGTGCATTTTGATGGTGATGTAACTATTGGATTCATGCAAACACAGCTACTCTCTTTAACATCCAAAAGGGGACCAAGAGCGCCTTGTACTTTAACAGTCTCCAACCACCTTCTTTAACAGACCATTTCCTTCTGAGGATGTCTCAAAAAGCAGCTCAAATCCCAAATCAAAACCTCCCCAGAACTAATCAGCTATTCTCTCCATCTTTCCCAGATATTCTCAAGCTTACATCGCCCTCCATGCCGGCCATCCTAGAGCTTGCCACTTGAACAGAGTATGCCTCAGCATACCTTTATACAGGACCAGGTATACACATCTACCTTACTCCGCCTAGAAGCTTCTCCAACAATGTTCCCCCTTTGTCGTTGTGACTCACACGCCGCGGATTATGAGTTGCTGCCAGCGGCTTGTTGGAGAAGATAGGTAGGCAGCGTAGGTCTTCAAACACTACCTCTTGTCGAGTTGTTCGCCCCCCAAAACATCCTCCAAGCAAACAAGCAAACAAGCAGGCAAAGAAGCTCGCAAGCTCGCAAGCTCTCCACCCGGAATCACCCCTCCCCAAGCTCGATCTCGGCCTCCCTATCTCGTAGCCATTATATTCGTAACCCGTCCGTCGCACTCAAGCCCTTTTCTCCTCCACTGCAGCAGCAGGTCTAGGGAATCCAATTCTCCTGCCCGTTTGAATCAGCTATTCTTCCCGTCATTCCTACATCTCTCTGCCTTTCCTCTCCCCTATCCTTTGAAAACAAGGAGAAGCAGAATGAGCATGAAAAATATGGGTAGTAGAGATACATACCTCAATCCATTATCAACCGTCTCCTTGGTAGTGCGCCCTGATTCCTTCTCCTCCCTATTGATGCGCGTCGCGGCTGCCCCGAGACCGATGACGATGGCGAAGATGGGGTCGAGGGTCCGGGAGATTATGTGTGCTTGTGGTGGCATTTTGGATTTGGAAGAGCTGGGTAGGAGGGATGTCAGGTGAGGTGAGGTTGGCTGTATTTTTGTTCTGAGCGTGAAGCTTTAGCCATGGAGCGGCCGCTTCAAAAGCGAAAGCACGGATGAATGGATCACGTGGCGAGTCTGCTTCAGATTACGGAGTATGGCTACGATTTATATCAAGCTTTCATTTGGTTACTGGACTGACATTTATGCAGCCTGTTTAGACAGACTCTGAGTTGAGATGGGATGGTTTCCTTTCTACCATTGATAGATCAACATATATACACGAATTCCTACAATTATATCTTCTAGGCCATGTAACGCCGATTTTCCAGAATGCCCTTTTGCTCTACCATATACACCATACATACGCACGCCTATTTCTTGGCCACTCTATTTCTTGGCCAGGGCGATATCAAAGGCTGGAATCAGGGTTTGTGCAAGCCAGAAGGAGAATACGAGTTTTGGGCCAGTCATTAATAGCTATAGGTGTGTCAGCTCTTGGGTCATAGACCAGGAGAGGAAAAATATTAGGTACCTTTGGCACTAATCCCTTGAAGAAACTCGTAGGACCCTCGTTCTTCATCATGCTGCTAATGATCTTGAACCCAGACTCCGGGTTCTCGAAGTTCCTGTTCTGGATTCGGGTCTTGATAACATCAAGAGGAGCCGAGACTAAGAGCGAGGCAGAAGCTCCTGCGATGGAAGCAACGAAGTTTTGTAGCCATGTTGCTGAATTGTAGTCTGTCAGGCCGTACAGGTATCCCTTTGTAAATGCTGATCCTCCGAAGAGCTATATGTATATTAGTCTCATCCTTCCTCTCTTACTATGGGGGTTAAAAGTACGCACAGCGAACGATCCAGGAGCATTTCGGGCAGCGGTCCAGCCCCAGCCTCTGTATAATCCAAATCCTTCATCCCGCACAATTCTGACTACACCACGCCCTCTGAACGCCTCTGGGTTTGTTTGGCGCTTGATTTTGAGGACGTCCAGGGGAAGGAGGACAATCTCGCCGATACCGATTACACTAGGCACTGATCAGAACTCGTAGGCAGAAAATCTGGAGTGTTCTTGCTCACCTTCCTGCCAACGAAGACATCATCGCCTTACCGGTCGTCTTGCCAAATGTGTTGTCGAATGTAGAGCCGTGGTTCCTGGACAGGTAATCCCGAACGAAAGGTTGACCTCCATACTTGTAAATTCGTTGCAGAACCTAGCCTCCGTCAATATAAGCCCATCACTCCACACCACCCAAGCATCTAACCTTGTATCCAGCAGCGTATCCGAGACCTGGGAAGAGGGAGAAGAACTTGCGACCGGCTGGCGCAGTGGCTTTGTCTTTGAAGATAACGGTGTTCAATTGGGCGGCGGAGGCAATCTAGCAGGGTCAGCACGCTGATTCTATACGGGCGATGGATTTCCTACCTTCCCATGGTTGCTCATTAACCGCTTTGCAATTGTGTCGACCTTCAATGGGTCAGTATTGGCCTTGTAGTCCGAGGAATAGATTCGTGCATACGGGATGAAAGACGGCAAGCTCAGCAATACCGGCAGACCCTACGAAATATCAGATCTAATCCCTAAGAACACACTAAAGCTGTATAGCATACCTGATCCTAACAGTCTCGCCAGAGTAGACTCGCTCTTATCGGATCCAGCTGTTGGGGACATAGCGGCGGTGTATTTAGCAATTGAGGGCGGCTAGGATGAACAATAGAGGACTCGAAGATGCTCTTGGGATTCGGAGGAGGTCGTGCCTTGAAAATAATGTGGGGATGGGAATTTGTTGCGATTCTTGAGGGGGTTTAAAAAAAGAAGTTCTCCTTACACATGATGCCCAGCTTTTTTTTTTTTTGGCGAGGTTGCGCGCCGTTCTGGATAAAGTGGAGAAATTCTAGAACTCCACCTACAGTGTTACTACTCCGGAGTACTCACATCATTCTTACTGGATTTTGTATGTTATGGTTCTTCTTTTCGCTAAGTCTAGGTCTAGGAGGGTAGGATAGTTTTTCTCCAAGTTGAATGTTACATCCAAAATCAAAGTAGTAAACTTATATAGCTACTTGTTCTCTTCAATTTGCAGAAGTTTCCCCTAATATAGCAATTATTTCAATGTTTGTCTATAACCCTACCTACCATTCTGATCGGGGATTTCTTCCCATCCTTGGACCCTGTTAGTCATTGCTGGTGCACCGCTCAAGTCTTCAGCGCTGTTGATGGGGAGTGTTCTCGTTGTCACCCCTGTACCTGCCCACACACTAGTGTTTTGGTCACCATTTTCCTGTCCGCCTCGAGGGTGGGTTGCTATATATCTATCATTAGAACTTCGCCGGTGGGGAACATTTAGTTGCTGTGATGGCATATTCATGCGGAATCGGAAGGCGGAAGGCATTATGCTTTTAAAGGGGGAGAAAGGGGCAGAATATGCAAATAGAATCGCTTGAATTTGAGACAACCAGAATCAATTTGCACGATTATATCGAACAAGAAATACAAAGGCAAGAAGAATATATTACATAAAGTTATGATTTTCTGGCCTAGCTGGTTGCTTCAACAGCAAACGCACCGTACATATGGTATCAATACAAAAGGCCCCCACGCAACAGGAAGGGAGTTCCAATCCATCGTTGCTCAATTAACGCCCAACCAAAAAAATGCAGCAGATTAACGCCTGTTCATGCAGGAAATGCTCACAGCCGTAATATTCGTGTCAACCGTCGCCCCTGTTTTTGATTCGCAGAATGCACCCCTTCCTAATAGTCCTTGAAAATGCCCACGATCTCATCAAGTCTGCCCAGCTGACCTAGTAACATATCCTCCCTATCCTGAAAGGCGTGAAGTTCGTTCAGTTGTGCAGGCATGAGATATTCGTCGGGTGGCTTGTCGCGAACGTCGGAGCGGTGCGTTAGTTCGAGAACTGATTTTGCCCGACGTCTCTCAACATTAAGCCGGTGGAGAAGTCTCGACATTGACTTGTAGGTGTGGTCCAAGACGAGTGAAGAGCAGCGCTCGTTGTCGAAGAACCAGAGGAAGATGACACGATTGTTGTTCGCTCCACGGGAGGCATCCTTTGGAACCTCTTGAATATCCACCCATCCCGACAGCTGCATCTCAGCCAATTTCGTGCGAATGTCTTTCTGCTTCATGAGAGTAGTATCCTTGAGGTGCTTCTCGTCAAGCTTTCCTAGCTGTCGTAGCATTCGTACAAGACGATGACCTGCCGCACCGAACAATTCTAAGACCAATTTGTCTATCTCCGCTTCTTGGATTTTTTGAATGACTTTCTGATAATTGACGGACCAGGCGCTTGTCCGTCCGCCTCCCTCGTTACGAAGCCATATTGATCGTCCGCCAGTAATGCCATATGCTCCTTTACGTGGTAGATACGGTCTTCCCGGGAATGAAGACCCTCTGGCTCTGGGAGTTTGTCCTGGAATGTGACTTTTGGACGCTTTGGAGATTTTACTGCAGGAGCATCGGCGAAAACATCATCGCCGTCCTGATCGACCTCGTGAGAATTGCCATTTCCGTTAATAGGTGGGTCGTCCTCATTCTCGCTCCCACTTCCTTCGAGGTCACCAGCTTTGCGCTTCCTGTTCACCGGTGGGCTTCCTAGCTTAGGTCCAGCAAGTTCCCCAGATTTGGGACCCTCGCCGATTGTCTTGCCTATACCGAGTGAAACGTTGACTGATTTGCTGAGCGAAGTTGCGACATCTCTAGTCGATACCAATGGACGATCTTGATACTCATCTTCCGTCGCGCCATGCGCACACTTAGGAATCTTCTTCTCTAGGTGTTTGAGGAGTTCTGCATAAATTTGAGATGTTGTATCACCAAGTTTCTTTTTAACGGCCTCCACAAGCTGCGCATTTCGGAGCAATACTGCGCATTTCTCATGATTGATGCGTACAACCAGATTCGGCTTTTTGGAAGTTAGCTCACATTCTCATTTTGCTTTAAGAAGCTCAAATAACCCACGTCAAGTCTAGTGCCATCGTCTTCGTAGTTATGGTCGCCAATGGAACTGCTGCCATGAGATAGCCTCCTCTTCTTGCTTGAGCCATTAACCCCGTTGGTAAGTACGCCATTGAGAGGCTTCTTGAGTACCTTGGACCTCCATTCCCGGTCTTCCGCCTCTATTCTTTTCAAACGTTCGTCGAGGATTCCATGGAGCTGCTCCTTTTTCTTGGAGCTGCCTTTGATACTGCCACCTGCGATTTCGTTCGTGGTAATGTCTGCCTCCAACTCGTCTTTAATGTCAGCCGGGTTTCGGAACATGCGCTGAACGACAGGCTCGATTAGACCAAGTTCTAGAAGCTCAACTAATAGTCCATCCATATGCGCACCAGATCCAATATTGCCATTCGTGTGACCATTGACACCATTAGCAGCAGAGTGCCCGTTGCTCTTGCCCTTGGCCGCTTGCTTTTGCTGAGATGCGTAAGCTTCAGCAAGGTCAGAGACTTTGGTATGGCCAAATAGAAATAAATTTTGGACCACATCTCTCGCAAAGGCCCCGTATCTGCTTTCGACAAACTCGATGACTTTCCCAGACCTAGCCAAAGCATATGCGGCGCCATCGTTGGCTTCGTAGAAGGTGGAGCCCGTTTTCCCCGTATGGTAGTAAACGAGGTTCTGCTGGATGAGGACGGCGAGACCATTTCGGGTCGCTTTCGGACCAAGACGAGTGTGTCTCGATATTTCAGATATTGGCAATTTTCCCCTTCGAAGCAGAATTATGAATATGCGCTGTGTGGTGTGTTAGACCCGACTTGACCAGTGCCCAAATTACTCAGCCTGGCTGAAGGATTAAGAGAGCTTCTGCAGAAGGATATTCTTGGAATTGGTTTAATGAACAGACATACGGAAGTTAGTTCTCCATATGTCTCGTCGACGAGCAAAGCGCAAAGCTCTACTGCGTTTTGTGACTGTCGCGGGGTTAGCTGTGTTAATTGAAAAGGGTATTGCTCGAAGCTGAAGCAGCGGTAAACTTACTCGAGACATGGTGTTTGCTGCTAGAGATTATCTCAAGATCTCTAGAGCTGCCACAGATGCTACCGGTGCGTCATTGACGATGTAGAGGTCAAGATCGAGATGGTGGGTGCGGGTGCTGTGTAGGAATACTTTGCATATAAATCTTTTATGGTGGGGTACAAATTTGGAGAAGAGTGAGTGACTGTTGACCTGACCTGGCAGCCTGACTCTGCATTAGGCGGTAGGTGCGGGTGATGACTAAGCCATGCGAGTCTCTTTCAAGCTCCTGGAAGATTTCGGGATCAACGTCAATAGACTCAATACCACCCAACGACCTCAATTGCGACGGCATCGGGATCCCTCAATCACCAATTCCTTCCAAACAATGATCTCTCGGTCGGCGGTTGGGAGAAATGCGCAGCTTGCCCTCCGCAGGCAATGCTGCGCTAAGCCCGCACCCTTAAATCGACGCGGTCTTGCGGCTGTATCTACCGGATCGACCTCATTCTCCTATGAGTCGGCGGATGTTGGCGGGATCAAAGTTGCCAGCAGAGATGTTGCGGGACTAACGACCAGTTTGGCAGTGGTTGTCAAGGCTGGAAGCAGATACCAGCCATTGCCGGGCCTGACTGTTGGTCTCGAGGGATTCGCTTTCAAGGTGTGTATACACTGTTTTAGCTCATGTACTCGGACCTGACGAGTTTGCCTATTTCTAGAACACGCATCGACGATCTGCTCTTCGAATTACAAGAGAATCCGAGCTTCTTGGTGGTCAATTGCTTGCATACCATACAAGAGAGTCCTTGGTCCTTGAGGCCAAATTCCTCCGGGAAGACCTCCCATACTTCACGGAATTGTTAGGCGAGGTTGTCTCTCAAACAAAATACACTGGTGAGTTGTTAATCGGCTGTGTTGCATGGACGGACTCTGATATTTGAATAGACTATGAGTACCACGAGGAGGTCGAACATAACATCAAGCTCTCTCAACAGCGACTCCTCGCAGACGTGTCAGACCTTGCCCTCAATTCAGCACACGGCATTGCATTCCATAGGGGTCTCGGAACGCCGCTCTACCCTACTTCCTCGACACCTTTGTCGAAATACCTGAATGATGAGACCATCCACCAGTTTGCCAATGAAGCATATACGAAGTCAAATATTGCAGTTGTTGCTAATGGAGCCAACCAAGCTGATTTGTCTAAGAATGTTAGCGAATTCTTCACTGGTGTAAAGTCATCTGCAATTCCAATTTCAAGTCCCGCAAGCAAGTACTATGGTGGAGAGGAACGTATCGCACATGGTTCAGGCAACTCTCTGGTTCTTGCGTTCCCAGGTTCAAGCTCTTTCACCGCTGGTGGATCTTACAAGCCCGAAATTTCTGTTCTTGCAGCTCTCCTTGGTGGCAAGTCAAGCATCAAATGGACACCTGGTTTCTCGCTCCTCGCCAAGGCAGCCTCGTCCTTTCCCGGGGCTAGCGCTACAACGACTCATTTCTCTTACTCTGATGCCGGCCTTCTGACAATCCAATTCACTGGATCTGCACAAGCTATCCGTGGTGCATCTATTGAGGCCGTCAAATCACTCAAGAGCATTGCTGAGGGTTCTATCAGCAAGGAGGATTTCACCAAGGCTGTTGCTCTTGCTAGATACCGCGCTCTAGAAGAAGGTCAGAGCACTGATGCTGGCCTCGTCTCAACTGGTGCTGGTCTTGTGCACGGTGGCAAGCCTTTCCAGATTGATGAGGTGGGAAAGAGCGTTCAAGGTGTGACTGCTGAGAAGTTGAAATCGGTAAGATTTCCCCCATTCCAGGCACAGTTTTGCCCATGCTAATTATTCAATAGGCTGCCAAGGCTCTGTTAGAGGGAAAGGCAACTGTCTCGGCGGTTGGAGACCTATATGTACTGCCATATGGGGAAGAGCTTGGTCTTAAGGTATAAACGCTTGGGGGGTTCGGTTGAGATGGAACGGGTTGTATCACCAGCTCCTATTTTAGAGTGTACACACTGTAGATAAGAATTTTCTTTGTCCATGCTGCATTTGATTGTGATCCTCGTAGTAGTGGGAAATACGTAGCTCCGAGCTTGGGTTTGGCAATCTGAAAGACTTCCACAAGTATGCAGAAGGGTGGCTGCTTAACCAATTAAACCGTTTAGTGATCAAAAAACCCTATCCGTAACAATGCATTCTAAAAGCCCAACTTATCTACTATTTATAAACTTTAGGGGCTTTTCTTCTGGAAACGGCAGTTTCTCACGTGACGTTCCGACATCCATCTCGAAAAGCGAGCTCAAACAGCTTCTTTCAGCGAAGAAACAACCCAAAGCTCTACATCTCCTCACAACCAACCGCAACACACAATGGCATTCGCATGGAAAGCATCAGGTCTCACGTATGTCCTCGCCTATTAAGCTCCCACCTACCCCTCAATTGATGGCAAGCCCCAGACTGACAAAACATGCAAATTGAACAGCTACAACAAATACCTCTCAGTCGCCGCACGCGTCGTCCGCCGAAGCCTGAAGGATGACAAACGATTGGCAGCCGAGCGACGAGGTGAGAGCGAATTGAGGATGGCGAAGTGGAATGTAAGTGTTCTTTGATTCTGGAGATGTGGGGAGAGGGCTGATGGCGGACAGAACGGGAAGCAAGGCGAGCACCAGAATGTTGCGGAGGCGAATGCTGCTTCGATGGCAGAAGCTGCTGGCTCTCCTGCATCATAGATTTACGGATATGGGAAGGAAGGGAAAGTCAGACGGGGGTGGATGGCAATGAGGGTGTGAGATAGAGAGGGGAGGGAATTGTACATTGTATGCTTCGTGGGAAAGGGCTTTAGATTCAACAATTGAAGGGGTCCGATCATGAACTGGCCAATATGTGCTTGATGGTTGTGAGATAATGCTACAAGTGATATTGGGTATATTGGGACGCTTCCGGCGGAGCTCCAGAAGCTTTTCTCCAACAGCCGCATACTACTCAAGAACTTGGCCAATGCCACAGAACATCATTTGTTGCCTTGAAGAGTCACACAAAAGGTTTCCTATCATGGGCAGTGATAAGTTTTGACTTCCTATTGTGTCTCGCAGCCTTGATATATCTATAATATATTGATGCCGCTTTCTCCGTACCTTCCCTGCAAGACTTTCAACAGCTTAAGAGGCTGCCTGCCTAAGAACTTTCCCAGCTTGTCAGCAAATGTTGATGAACTCTGTTTTAGATTCACAGTATCTTCTTGTCCAAAGGCTTCTGCATAATTCTTCATCACGATCAAATCTATCAATTTCTCGGCGGAAAATCCCGACTTCAAGCCGACGGCAAAAGCACCACACGCAAAAACGTGCCGTCGTCTGGCTTTCAACCACAACCAAGAGATTCCCCAAAGATGCATAGCAACGCAGTAACTGGCGTTACTTCAAGTAAGCATACCCCTCATTATACGGCAAACCCATCCTTGATCTGATATTATTTCCACAGAGATAGCAGATTTCGATTTGGACAATGACCAAATCAATCTTGAGCCGCCTGGGTTCGCGGCCTATAACTCTGAACCACCCCCTGCACCCAAATTAAAGAGCGCCGGAATAGTGTCTTTAGACATCACCGAGCAATTTGTCAACGCTGCCAAACGTAGGCTCATGTCTGTTGCCGTTGTGGACCACGTGCTTATTTCTTTCCAGAACTTGAGCTCGGAGAGCTGGTCAAGGATCCACACTTTACACTCTTTGAGTCTGTTGGCGCTTTGGAGGTAATATTCAGTCTTGGAAGTCTGACTCTAATAGACCATGTGCTGAAAATGGCAGATTATGGATCCAAAGATGGATAGTGGGTATCTGCAAGCCGGGGAGACTATGGAAGACGATTATGATTTCAGTCAGCTATTACTTCCGGAAGAAATCATTGGTATTATCGACCAGTTGTTATCTCACGAGGTATGAAATACTCTTTGGGGAGCTTAGTACGCAGCTGACTTTACAGATGGCATGGCATATGGGCCATCCACTCGCCCAAACAATTTTCACCAGCTTGTACATCGATCGGATCTTAGATCCATGCCCTATTAGTCTGGAGCAGACGTACTTTGATAAGAGTGAGAGCTGTGAAGATGAGCCTCTTATGCACCAAGTTCTGAGAGCGTACTGCCTGGGTCTCCTCAAAACCTGTGGCTACGTCAACCAAAGGGTCAAATCGGAGCATTACTACGAGGTACCACTTCTAACATCTCCTTAATAGTAATCACTCCTAATAATTCTTCTAGGAAGAAGACTTTGTTACACACACATTCCACAGAAGTCTACTTGAAAACATAGACCATGAATTAATCATCGAGCTCCTTGAAGAGACGATCGAACGTCTAGCCGACTCCAATGAAATATCACAGGAAGCCAAGGATGCATTGGACTTCGACTTGGGTTTCGCGCTTCATTCCTGGAAATTGTCGAAGCCGCTGATTCAAGAACTTCTCTGGAACAAGTCAAAACAATGTGGACTGATTTCCAACTCTTATTACCCGGCCTCAAATCAACCACCAAGCTGGGGAAGCCCGCGCCTACTTCTTTTAGTGCTAAAATTCAACGAAAGCTCGCAAGTACTGTGCCGCCACGTCCTATTGTGCAAGTCAGCCAAGAGGCTGCTTTTGATCAGCTGGAGAGACTCTGTCGAGATGGTGCTGTTGCGGTCGAAGTCTTAAAGTATTATGATAGCCATAGTCTCATGGTAAGTTATCACCAATCATGCTTTGTAACAGCTACTAACAAGTCTAGACGTTCGTATCTCTGTTCCAAGCACGAAAGCCACAGCCCTCTGTTTACATCCGAACGCTATTGCAGCACTACATATTCGGAGATATGATAATGTTAGGAAACATGTCTATCCGGCAAGTCCTCGACGATGATCTATCCACCACAGTTCTCCCAGCAAGCCAGCTTCTTGATCGAGCCAATGACGAAGTTGAATTCCCAAACGATCCACGATTCAAAATGGCCGAACGAATGGAACTCTTCCGTTCTCGAGCCGCAGGTTCCTTCCTAGACATTCTCCGAACCATCTGCCAAAACCGATGTCGTATCCGTCGTACCCTGTGCCACACTATCGCAGACTGGGACATCTTACAACTCGATGCTGAAGAGCTAGACATGCAGCTCCGCGAGTTCACCAAAGAAACACCAGTTCGTGACAGAGAAATCTCAGACGAGCCAATCTACTCCTTCAGCCTCTCATCCTGGGCATACTTCTACAAGCTCCGCCAAATGGAATGGATAGTACAAATGGGATTTGAACTCGAAGTCTACCAACCTGACGAACTAGCAACCATGTACTACTACCTACAATACCTCGCCAAAACCCGAAGCCGTCACCTAGAACGCATAAAAGGCTTTAACTTCCGTGGGTTCAACGCAATTCGCAACAAGAAGACTGCCGGAGATGCTAGTCACGACGAATACACCAAGGCCCTCACGTTCGTCAACTTCTCCACCATGGAAGCAGCCGCCACTTACGGCCTCGCAGACTCGCTTTCCTGCCTCTTCACAGTACTAGACCGTCTCTCACTCATAAAGCCACCACCAAGACCCTATAGCAGCGACCAAATGCGCTACGAACTGCGCCTGAAACCATTCCTACTCATCGGCCTTCCTGAACTAATCCCTTTCACGGACCTCACGAACGCAGTTTCCCAACCCTCAGAATCCACGCTCTCGCTGCTGAAATATGCAGCTGAAGCAGCTATGGCAGCGAAGAGGGGTTTCGAGGTGTTGAGTAAGCTTAGTGCGCAAGAGGCGTTTTGTCAGGGGAGTCATGACAGCTGGATTAAGAATGTGAAGGATTGCTTGAAGGCTTGTATATTTACTGGCATAAGTATTGCGACGGTAAAGAAGGCTGTTGAAGGGATGGATAAGAATGGGAGCAAAGAGTTGAAAATTAGGGTCGAGATCCCGAAGACGGGGAAGGGGTACCATGATTGGTGGGTTGTGCCTAAGATCATACCGGTTTCTTGAAAAGATGGATCTTTGATGAGACTTACAGATCGAAGTAGATGAAGTATACCTTCTATAATGGGTATATGGTATTGTCTATGGGTACATAGAACAATCTGGTAGCAATCTAAGCCTCAACAGTAAGTATCTCAACCCGGCCAAAGTCCAATGAGTGGATGGATGACTTGGGAATCACGATCTCCCTACCACATTCTAACCACTTATCTCCAATAGTCTATAATGTCACCATTCGTTTCTCGAACTCCCGTCCCGTGTTTTGTAATGCTATCTGTGAAATCCCAGGATTCTACTGCGGGATTTCCTGCGCGGCTCTGTAGCTGAGGTTGAAATTAGCACCACCCAAGCGGCATTTTGTCAATGCTAAGTAAGCATTGTTACCACAGGCAAGCTTGCAAATCATAGGAGCAATGAGGCACTTGCACTTCCTCTTATCGAGTAATCATATATGTCAGTAGGTAAGAAAGGCGGCCGCAAACGCCTCGCCACGCCAATCAGAATGACATGAAGCAAGACACTTCGATTCAGCCAACCAGAACAGCCATATACACTAACTAGTAAATAAAAACATCCCGATAAATAATCTGCCGATAGAATTTCATGTTTATACGTAGGAATGGTAATTAGTAAAGGCCAAGCGGCACCGTTAAGTGGGTTATTGGGCTACCTTAGCTTCAAGAATATGGTGGCATGTAGTTTTGAACATGTAACACGAATAGGGTGGGGGGGTTATTACAAATAAAAATCATAGATGAGTACTAGGTAAAGTGAATAGAAATCTATAAAGAAGATTGATCAGGAGCCTATTTCGAAAATCACAAACGCACTTTATTCAAAGCTTCTCCTCCTCCACTCATAAAGATCATTTCACAGCTATTCAAGCATCACCAGCTTTTCAAAATTTATACAATGGAGAATCTTCCAGTCGACTACTTCGTGAATACCGGCGCATTCACCAAGGTAACTTACCGTGATGTCTATCCTTCAATCAATTCAACAGCTGTTTGAAACAGTCAAGCTGGTAAAGTAATCGTCATTATCGGCGCAAGCAAGGAAAACGGACGCCTGGTAAGTTGTCCTACCTTATCTTCTCAAGATTTTCATGGCCCAATTGGATATGCAATAGCTGACTTGAGAAGGGGCTCGTCAAATCATTTGCCAAAGCCGTGTCCAAGGGCATTGTGATAATATCTCGCTCTGCTGTTGAGGTCGAGGTTGTCCGTCAAGAGATCCTCGCAATCAACAAAGGAATCGAAGTGCTTGCTGTTGCAACAGATGCTCGCGATGCAAAGTCTGTTGATAGCCTCTGAGAGAAAGTCAAGGCAAAGTTCGGAAAGGCTGATGTTCTAATCAACAATGCCGGAACACTCATGAACGGACTGATCTCTGAGATCCAGTCGATACTTGGTGGACGGATTTTGTACGTTCCACTCGATCCGTTGCGTCTTTGAACTGTTGCTACTTCCTAAAAGGAAACCAATGTTCGTGGTACCTTTCTCTTCACTCAAGGCTTCTTAAGCTTCTTGGAACCGAAGCCAAAGGATCTATCGTCAACCTGACCAGCGGCATAGCCGTCATGACTGTCCCCGGCATGTCGAGCTACTTATTCTCAAACCTGGCTATCCTTCAGTTGCAAGCTTACATTGCAGTTGAGACCCGAATGTGACAGCAATTGCTCTGCATCCGAGAATCGTGATGACTGAGATGACCGCCGGCCCCTTCCAATGCTTTGCATTGGATACTCCAGAGCTTGTGGGAGGACTCGGCGTTTGCTTGTCGACTGAGAAGGCGGCTTTCCTGAATGGAAAGTATGTCTCTTCGAACTGGAGTGTGGAAGATTTGGCGGCTAGGAAGGAGGAAATTGTTTCTGATGGAAAGCTCTCGCTTATCTTGAAAGGAGACTTTGGGGAGAAGCAATTCGCTTAGAAGTGCTTCCTGGTTCATTCCGCAAGAAGGGCATTGATTATTTAGACATGACCGATAAATGTGGTGGAAGTGTTTTCTTTAGCTAGAATAGTAACAATTTGAATGAAAGATAGATCGTTTCAATTGCTTAGCTTTACACCAACGCAGGCCAAAAGCCTCGCTTACGCAGGACAATTTAGGTCATCGTTCAACCAACGACTTTCGATATTTTGAACAGTTAGTAAGGAAAGTTTTGCGGTCCTAGATTGCCATGTCTGCTATAAGTATAGATAGTTACGGCTCTCCAGTTTTCTTTAAATTTTCACATAATGAATAACGGGCCGAGCAACATCACGAACAGATCAGCAAGCATAAATGAAAGATACCAGCAAGGCCCGAAAGAACACGAACACGACATCTAAAACCAATGGCATAGGAAGTCGACCAAACAGAGCCGGCTAGTAGTCAAGATAAAGTTGAAGGAATTGCGAAGGAATGGCGAAGGAATGGTTTAGATATAAAAATTAGAAAACGAAATACAAATAGCGAAGTGGATGAAGGGTTTTAACAGATGAAATCTTGGGTGAATCTCAACGAGAGACTTATTCATATTTTGACTATTGTGAAGAGCTTCAGTGATATACAACTTGGATGTCTTGTGAATGTGTGTGGGAAGTATGAACCTTCCCTTTCCTGCCCTCCAATTTCATAGGGCCATCCTTCCAGCCTTGGTCAATTCAACGCCTTACATCTAACCCTCTTATGTACAACCATTTTTCCCGATCATCAAACGTCAAACCTTCTCCAACCCCTGCTCGTCATTTAGAGAGCCTTTGCTGGGATTTTCCTCCGAAGTTTGATGGTCTGCTCATACAGAACGTCCTTGAAAGCAAACAAGAACGCTGCTGTGAGGACACTTTGAGTGACCTTAGGGCCGATACCTATGGACGTTAGTAAGAGCCAATTTGTAGCAAATGCAATCGATGACTTACCTTTGTAAAGACCAGTGTAGCCCTCCTCCCTCACAATCCGCTTCATGGAGGTCACCATGTTCTCCTTGCCGCCATCACGCCCAGCAACATGCATTTGGCTCTTGACCGTGATATATGGGTAGGTGATGCTAGTAGCAAACAACTTGCCCAGCGCACCCAACAGGAACGCTATCGTGGGTGTAATCCTCCTCTTCTTCTCTAAGGTATTCTTCAACTGCTCGAAAATAGTGTATTGCAGGATTGGGTTGATGACCAATACCAACGCGGGCACTACACCCGAGAAGAGGGCCTGTGGACCTTCCTCCTTGAGCAAAGCAAGGAGAGTGCCCACCGTCGTGGGTGCCTTTGGGGCTTTCGCCCCAGGTAGCAGACTCTCATCACTCTCCTTATTCTTCTTCCGTGTAGTCATCCGCGTATTAACAACCCAGATAGGGTTCGTGAGCATGACCGTCGCCGAGCCCGCAATAGCCCCCGCAATCATAGACTCAATTGTAGTAAGCTTCTTGGAAGCTCTCCCCGCCTTCACAGCAGCAGCCTCGAAGCTTGAGCGGGTCCATTCGTACCAGTAGTAATAGACGAAATTGGTGACGCTGATGCCGAAGAGTGCTGAGTCCAGTCCTGCGTAAAGACCGTTTACTCCTTCCCGTTGAACGATGCGCTTGACAGCATCGAGGAAGCCTGAGTCGGCGCGTTTGGATTCGACTTGTGCTCGGGTTGAAAGAGTAATGAGGGGGTAACTTGGGCAGATGGTCAGTATGGAACCTAGGGAAAGGGGGAACTTTCCTACGTCAAGGCCATAGACAAGATACCCCCGCCAGCACCACTTAAGGCATGCGCGACATTGTCTGATTGCTGAACAACTGTTGATGGAGCCATTGTAGCTAAACCGAGAGTATTGTGTTGAGAAATTCGAAATGTAGATTTATACCAATTGGAAAGGAAAGAACAAAGTGCAATATCCGTTCTTCAAGTTGCGCATACCGACCCCATTTCCCAGACACGCGCATATGAATCTCAGATTCCCCTTGCCTCGGCACAACGAGCCACCAGAGCTGATCGCCGAGATTAGGTAAGGCTTGCAGAAACGTCTGTGGAGAGGGCACGTGGGAAGCGGCCAAGAAACCTTGAAGCTATTATTAGTCATCGCCACTCAACCTCACAATATGCTTAATTTGGAAAGAAAAGGCCATAATTTGCCATCATTCTTTACCACATCCCCTTTTAAATCCATCCCACCTGCCCTCAATCCCCTTCCCTATAGCGAAAGCTTTTGTTATCTCATTAGTGTATATATCTTGACTTTCATGTAAACAATAGTTTTGGGTTTGTGTCAGGGAGATTTCACGTTGCTGTCGTTTTTTTCTGAGCCTGTTTCGTTGTGTATATTTCATCAAGCGGAGTGAGCCCAAGAGCGTGTATTTCTTTACGGTCCTCTTGTTATCTCCTAAATGTTAATTCTCTTTTTGTAGTGACATTCATAGTGTCTACCTTTTGCGTATTGGCCTGGCAGTTGTTATTATACCCCTTCGTGTTATTCCTGAAGCTCGCAAGTACCGATAGAACGGCAATACGCATCCTCCCAACCTCTAATACCTCACACCCCACCCCCCGCAAAAACATTATAAAGTTGATTTTCAACCAAACTCTGTTATCGGGACACAGTGGCCCTTAAGCATCAACAAGCAATGCAGCATCGAAGTTTGCCGACCCATGAGGTCTCGGATGAGAACCTCGATGATACATATGTCAACTTCATCATGTTCTGTAACCCAATGGTACCACTGGACACAGATACAATCGAACTCAGAAAAACGTTTCGGGCCCCTCCAAGAAGCGATGGTAAAGCGTTCAGCACGTTTAAATTGTTTGAGCTCATTCGGAAGTTGGAACAAAAGGAGATCAAGACTTGGGCACAACTTGCGATTGATCTAGGTGTGGAACCACCGGCCCTGGATAAGGGACAGAGTGCACAGAAAGTCCAGCAGTATGCCGTAAGGCTCAAAGTAAGATCCTTTTCATTGCTTGTTCGCAAAACCACCGAGAAATGCTTTTGATTCACATCCGAGGACTAATACTAAGACACATTAGCGCTGGATGCATGCAATGCACGTCGATGCATTTTTTGAATATCTCTTGAGAAAGCCCCATGTATACTGGACTCAGGTCCCCTCTGCCGGCGACCCTGGGTCTGATTTCGGGCGAGATGGAGTCCCAGCTGAGGAAGACTTGGCTCTGCGGGCACTGTTACCAGAAACAAAACCGAAACGTGGTCGACGGAAAGCAGGAGACAGAGAGAATGACGAGGATACAGGAAGATCGCCGGCTCAGCGTCCCCGTTTGGATTCGCCAACATTATCTGACGAATTCATAAGTGCCAGGTCTTTAATACCAGAGAGTGCCACTCCAGCATCGGCTCATCCAGGCTTCAGCCAGTCTTTCAATGATCGAATGGTGCCATGGTCTGCAACAGAAATGAGAGGCTCTGTTCCTGGTAATTTTCGCTGGAATGGCCCAGATAGTGCTCAAACACCCCTGTCAGCATATCCGCAATCTGCTATTACCCCCAACAATCGAAGTCAGCTGTGGAATGACTCGAGTGAACCCCCATCTGCCATTACACCCATCCGCGGTCGGTCACGGCGTCGACATGGTCCCGCAGTCTCCTCGGCATGGCCTGGTGGCGGTGGAATATCTTCTGGGAAGCTGAGGGGTCGACCGCCAAGCAACCGCTCAGTCACAGATGGACCTTTCTCAACATTTCCAGCGAACCCGGGGGCAAAAGATGTACCAACAATCAATCTTCGGGACGATACAACGACGGTTACTCCTATAGTCAGCAACCAACAGGGCAATCATTTTTTCCCACCAGCCATGCCATCTAGTCAAGCAAATCCCCCAGTCTTGAATAGCCGGCCCAGTCGATTATCACTCCAAGTTCCTCCACGACAGGGTGGCACAGTGAGATTAGCAACACCGCCGCCTCCGCCTGTTTTGTTGGTGAACGGCGAGAATGATTCGGATATGCACTCCGAGGCTCTGACCAGCTCTCATATCACACCCCTTATGGAGTATTTTGGCTCGCCTGCTGACCAAGACCCAAGCTTCCAACATTTCGTCAGTATTGCATTCCGGCAGAATGAAGACGCTGATCGTACCAATATGGATGCGTTAGAGAGTCATTTTATCTGCGAAATCCTGGCAGCCGATTGGTATGATGCGTCGGGGCAAAGAATTGAGAAATGCAGTATTGACGAGGCGGACAAGATATGCAAACAAGTTGTTAAGAATCTCCAGGTCAGTCACCTTATTAAAGGAATATTCTCTACTTCGGATGTATTAGGAGCGGGGTCGGCTGCTCTTGAAAAGTTGTCTCAACTCCCATAGACTATTGTTCCAACTCCCAAGTCTACTATATGAAGCATAACTGACCCCGAGATCTGGACGTTTCGTAGGCCGAATCAAGCAGCACCGAAGCATTCTTGATCAACTTGTCAGCCCTAGCGGGCGGACCGTTGATGACGAGACTACGAATGACGAGACTCGAGCAGGGCTCAATAGCCCATTATGAGTGTCATTGGAAAATGAGATTTGGTTCCATTGAAGGAGAATTCACTATTAGGGCTACGGTCCATCACGGACTTGAGTCTGTGGCTTTGGATGATTTCGGAGGAAGTGAGGAGTCGTGGAAGAAGAGGTATCTGGATCTTCGACAGCAGATCAAAGAACGGAACGCGACAGTTGGCAACCTTAAAACGAGTATCCTCGATGCATTGGTGGTGGCAACTCAAAATACACGGTAGCATAGGGGTTTGGTGGATGTTTTCCTTATCCTATATACCAACATTTATGTATCGCTTCTCATGGTCGTTGGGAGACTTAAACCTGAACGTTTTATACGCCTTCCCTGACATGATAGGCTGAACGATTTGGCATAAATGGGCTTCAAGATTTCCCAGAGAAGTCACCGGGAAGCTTGAAAACCATATCTATAGGGACCTGGCGTCTGACAAACTTACACAGCATGGACAAATCAAACGACTTTCGATGTTGAAGACGAAAGCATCACGATGCCATGCACAAGAAATGGTGCCTTCTATTATGCGTCAATTCAAAAGAGGGTTTCCGGCTGTTCAAATGCCTTAGTCGAATTGGCCAATCATTGACGCTGAGTCTTTCACCGCCTGCCAGAACCGGACTTGTGCCCCTGTGCAATAGTCTTTAGGCTTGTAATGTCTTATCTATACCTAGAACACAGCCTAGAACGTCTCATCGCGCTTAGTTGATTTTGAGGTTCTTCCCGCCAACCGGCTACCTGGGACCCTTAACCTAAAGCAAGAAGGTCAACGGATCGGGGCTATTAACGACTTTATTTGTTTTCTTGGATGCGTATTCTCGCTGCAAAAACGGGGGGAAGTCGAGCCCAATAATACTCAAATTTATTTTGAGTATGTCCGGGCTTCCCGACTGTCACGAAAGCGAAGATTGTCACTGTACTCCATTGTGGAGGACAAGTGGTGGAGAGAGGCTAGTGTGGTGGAGAGTCTCGACCTGCTCGAAAGTTCGGGTTACATTCTAACGCCTCTTTTACTCAGTTCTTAGCAAATCTGAAATGGCAGGGCAGTTCAAAGCAAACAAGTCACCAGATTCAAGTCAATTTACCCGTGTAATTTATATCGCTCAACTTCTTTGTCTTGATCATGATTCTGGGGATTTATAAGTGTGGGGGAAGTGATTTTGCCCCCAGGGATGTCACGGCCGGTATACTTGTCTCTCAATTGGACCCCGCTTTCGATGGCCTGTCTTGAACCTGCATGGCTGCGGCGCAGCTCTTGGGAATCGATTCGAACCCGTGCCCGTGCTACTACCACAAATGGGATCAAACCTGCACCACGGTAAGCCCACCGGGGCTGAACATGCTGTCTGAATATCTGGATCCCGGCAAGGCAACGGGGTTATAACAAGTTAGCTCTTCCCGCCCCTAGTTGTTGGATTCTTAGCAAAATCCTTCACCTCATATATCTCGTCCAACGCCTGCTATGGCTGATCCTGGGGATCCGAAAATCGACAGTACTCATGTAGAGCACCACTTTCAAGACAGGTCTCAGACACCAGCTGCAACGTTTTCCGCCTTTATGATGCAGGCTGACCGAGACGCAGATCCCACGATGGAGATAAATACAAAAGCGACGAGATCTTAAGTTTGGAATCACAGCCCAAACATGTCAGCTTCAACACCAATCTAGAAGCCAAGTATGTCTATTAAATTTCCCGGAAACCGCTTTCTAATTCGCAAAAAAAAGGATCCAGAATCCCTTAGCTGACATCCCTCGAGAATCACTTCTACGCGAGGTAGACGAATTTGCGAATCAACGAGATCTTGTGGATATACTTCCAATTCTAAGGAAAGGCGCCCTCGTGGCCAGAGACCCGAGTAATTATGAAGACATAGACGGCCCTGAAGCACTCGATAGTGAGGAGGTGGAATGCCTTCGGGATGAAGTTCTACACAAATGGAGACAACGCAGGCCGTTATACTTTACTATCATATGTTGCTCGGTGGGAGCTGCTGTGCAAGGTTGGGATCAAACAGGTATGAGAATGCTCTTTGCCCCAATTAAGGTTTCTACATGGCAACCCTTTTGGAGGGATGTGGTCGTCTTTTTGCAAGTGGCATGCAACCGTTCAGCGAATACTTTTGCCACAACTATTCTTCATCTCATACATAACCATCCCAGGTCTATTAAGAATTTTGATGTTACTTTGATTAAATACTAATGCTTAGCAAGGTTCCAACGGAGCGAACCTAAGTTTCCCAGGCTATTTCAACATTGGATCGAGCTCGACCCGTGACACCTTCCTCGTCGGTCTGATTAACTCGGCACCATATATCGGCTCGGCTTTCTTGGGCTGTTGGGTCTCAGATCCACTGAATGGGTATTTTGGTCGGCGCGGAACAATCTTTGTCTCTGGAAACTTCTGTTTGTGGAGTGTGATCGGATCTGCTTTTTCACAAACTTGGCCTCACTTATTCATTTGCCGGATTCTCCTGGGAATAGGGATGGGAGCCAAAGCTAGCACGATACCCATATACGCAGCCGAGAACTCGCCGGCCTCAATCCGGGGGTCATGTAAGTCATAGGACTATTTTATGTTGCAGTGCTGCAGGCGTCGAAGTGCATTCGCTAACCTACGCAGTGGTGATGAGTTGGCAGATGTGGAATGCCTTTGGGATGGCCCTGGGATTTTGTGCCAATCTAGTCGTGTATAGGTTTGGTTCAATCTCATGGCGTCTACAGATGGGCTCTGCGTTTATCCCGGCAGTGCCTCTTGTAATCGGAGTGTACTTTTGTCCAGAGTCACCTCGATGGTATATGAAGAAAGGTTTATACCGCAAAGCATACCAATCACTTCTCCAACTTCGAAACAAACCAATTCAAGCGGCTCGCGATCTCTACTACATCCACTCGCAGTTGGAGATAGAGGCTGAGATCCTTGGACGAAACACCTATATGAAACGGTTCATCGAGCTTTTCACCATCCCTCGATTGCGTCGGGCAACTCTCGCTGCATTCACAGTTATGATAGCCCAGCAGATGTGTGGGATTAACGTCATTGCATTCTATTCGTCTTTCGTATTCAGGGATGCTGGAGCGACCGACAAGCAAGCTTTGATTGCAAGCTTTGGCTTTGGGCTGTTGAACTTTGTATTCGCCTGGCCCGCTATTTGGACTATCGATACCTATGGACGACGGAGTCTACTATTGTTTACATTTCCTAATATGGCATGGAGCTTGGTGGCTATCGGGCTTAGCTCCCTCATCACAGGCCAAAAGGCTCACCTTGGAATGATGGCCTTCTTCGTCTACGTTTTCACTGCCTTTTACAGCCCTGGTGAAGGACCTGTACCTTTTACTTATTCGGCCGAAGTATTCCCTCTTTCACATCGTGAAGTAGGAATGGGATTGTCGGTTGCGATCAATCTTCTATGGGCTGCCATCCTTGGTATCACACTTCCTAAAATGAAAGACACCATGGGTATACTTGTAGGTTGATCGCTTTAGGTATTATGGTATCCACTGACCGTTATTTCAAGGGATTCTTTTGTTTTTATGCCGCAATCACAGTCGTCGCGTTTATGATGATATTTCTGTGGGTGCCGGAGACGAAGCAGCGTACTCTAGAAGAGCTTGACTACGTATTCGGGGTGCCCACGCGAACACACATGCATTATCAGCTCACAATAGCTTTACCGTACGTCTGTTCTTGCCCTCAACTGTCTCGCTGATGCTGACCCTCTCAAGGTGGTGGATCAAGCGCTACGTTTTAATGCGGCGAAAGACGCCCGATCTTGAGCCCCTGTACCACTTTGATTCGCCTACTGGGAGGGCTCAAGTCGAGCAGCTCTATGCAAAGGACAAGATACGAGCGATGGAGAGGACTTATAGAAGATCAGGTAGCTTGCCTTCGAACGGCCGACAAACCCCTCAGGTTCGAGATAAGAGATATCCTTGGCGGAGGGCGCCATAATTGTACGGGGATCTTGGAACACAATGACGACTTTACGACTATAAATGGAAATGTGGGTATTGGCGTATACAATCGAGGGAGCATGGCTGGATATATGGACCAGACTGGGCGTTTGGTGCAAAGGGCTCCTCGATTGGCTCTTCGTTTTGATACCCCGGCTGTCGACTCAAGATATGTAAGATATTCAAGATATACCAGTGTTATACAGAATAAGGTAATTCGGATACCATGGTTTCTCTACGGTCCAACTGCCTAGCGTCCCCATGCCCCATGGCACATGCCCCATACCCCGTGTCCTGCCTTGACAGCGTTGGCAGCCTCGGAGTTTGATGATCAGCACCACAATACCACAGGTCTTTAGCATTTAGAATGCTAATCCTGATAAATGATTAGACGCTGACTATACATATCCGCACGGAGATTCTGGTTATGAGTACGGTACCTCACTGTACGAAGGTCGTATAAAGTAGTTCGGCAGAGAAGTTGAAACCTCGCATCCGTTTGTGCCGCTCCTTCCGGGTCTTGGTTGAGAAATGACCATTCACCACCTTGAGTTTGGTCATCGATTAGGTAGGTGGGACAGTGAATGCAAAAGGAACCATCACACTCTGCATTCATTGTCCCGAGACCTGTAGGATGTCTAGCTACTATATAACATCTCTTTCCACCTTCCTTCTTCGCATATTCACAAACAAGAGCACCCACCCATTGTCTCCTTCCTTGTCCACTCCTCTGCAATGTTCCAGCCAATACTCAACCTCTCGGTGTTCAGCCTCTTCCTGCTACTCAGTGGCTTCTACGGCATCATCCTCGCCATCCAGTTCGTACTTGATCCCCTGCGCGACATCCCAGGTCCCTTCCTTGCCCGATTCACCCGCTTCTGGTACTTCTTCGCCATCTACAAGGGCAGTTTCGAGAAGACAAATATCGAATTGCACAGGAAGTATGGCCCCATTGTCCGTGTTGCACCCGGCGAGTATTCGATCGATGATTATGAGGCTGCGAGGATCATCTATGGATATGGAAACGCTTTTGTAAAGGTAAGAACAAGCATGTCTCAAATTCTACAGGACATCAAGCTGATCAGTATGGCAGGCGCCATGGTATTCGGCATGGGTGTCCCCTTCTCCTGAGCTGCAATCCCTCTTCACAGAACTGGATCCACACAGACACGCAACCCAGCGACGGAAATTCTCTGCTGTGTATTCTATGAGCTCCCTCGTGGGATATGAGCCTTTCGTCAACAACTGCAGCTCTCTATTGTCGCAACGTTTCAGTGAATTTGCAAAGCTTGGGGAAATTATTAATTTGCACCATTACTTGCAATGCTATGCTTTCGACGTGATTGGAGAGATCACTTTTGGGAAGCGTTTCGGCTTTCTAGATACGGGCGAGGACAAAGAAGGGGTCTTTGCAGCTATTGATGTCAGAGGCGTGTATGGCACTTTCGTCGGTATCTTCCCGTGGATTCATAGGTTTCTCTACCCCTTGTTCCCGAGTACTGGAGGCTTTGGCTACGTTCTCAAGTATACGTTACGCCAAATTGAGACTCGGAGCAAGGCATTGAAAGACCCTTTGAACGTAGGCCGTGAAGGACCACCAGATATCATGACGAAGGTTCTTCTCGCGCATGAAGAGAACTCCCAGAAGATGACAAGGGCCGATCTCATTATTATCTGCGCGTCCAATATTGGCGCCGGGAGCGATACAACAGCCATCACTCTCTCGAGCATCTTCTATCATCTCATGAAGAACCCGCAGTCTTACCAACGTCTTCAGTGCGAGATGGACGTCGCAGCGAGCGAGGGACGGATTTCCGATTTTGTCACTTTCAAAGAAGCTCAAAACCTGCCGTACCTGCAAGCAGTAATCAAAGAAGCCCTCCGAATGCATCCCGCCACCGGTCTACTATTGCCACGAGTTGTCTCGCCCAAAGGAGCAACCATAGCAGGCCGTTTCATCCCCGGCAACGCGCATGTCGGCATCAATCCCTGGGTAGCGTCTCGCAACACTTCCGTCTTCGGCCCAGACGCTGATACTTGGCGACCTGAGCGCTGGCTGGAGATCGAAGAACAGGGCCGAGGAGGTGAGATTGAGAAGTATTTCTTTCCCTTTGGCATGGGAAGCCGGGCTTGTATTGGGAGAAATATCAGTCTGTTGGAGATCAGCAAGTTGGTGCCGCAGCTGTTGAGGAACTTTGATTTTGTGCTTGATGAGAGTGAGGAGTTGAGGAGCCTGAATCGGCAGATGGTGAAGCAGCAGAACTTCAGGGCGAGGATTGTTGCTAGGAGCGAGAAGTCGTGATCCCAGATTAAGGAAGGGTTTTCAGCTTGCTAGCATACTCCATATAGAAGAAACAACAATTCAGCGCTAAAAGAATTTAAGATCAGGTCTTTTCAATCGTTTTCCATTTATAATGAAAGTATGTAAGAATACCAGCTCAGCTGGAAATATATACATACGAAGCATCAACTTCTCTTCGCATTTCTCAAGTCGCCGCTTCCATAATATAGAGCCCCCACAAGCAAGTCTCCGCCGTATGCTGCCCTCAAACGGCTCCTAAATGGCATCATTAGACGATTCTCTTGATGTAATCTCAGTGTATGATAAGGCTTACCTCCTGCTCCACCCAGTGCACCTGTAAGACTCGAGAGGGGATTTGCAGAGGCTAGTAGAATTGTCAGTACAACTCCAAGTACGTTCCGAGTCGAAGGGGATGCTGCTATTTACCAGCGCCGCCTGCTCCTAAATAACAATTTAGTATCGAGTTCACAGAGTTCCCAGAGTTCTTGGAAGTGGAAAACTTACCACCCGCGCCGCCCAGAGCGCCAGTCAAGCTAGAAAGGGGATTTGCAGCAGCTAAGGGTGTCAGTGCATGAAATAAGTGCCTTTTGAGGACTACAGCGGAATAACTAACCAGCACCACCTGCACCACCTGTCCCGCTAGTCAAACTGCCTAGGTCATGTTTTAGCTAATGTCATGCATGAAAAGATCTCGAAGGCAGCATACCAAGCAGACCACTCAAAGGATCAGCAGAAGCGGCCCCCGTGCTACGAGCAGCTGCCTTTGAAGAATCAGTTGCGCGTGGAATCAAACCGGCTAGTGGGTTGGCACTTGCTAAGAAGGAGTCAGCATTATTTGTTTTTGGTCTCTTTAGGTTCTGAATACTAAGAAGATAACCCAATGTCCCATCTCAAGTAAAAAGTAGAGCTTTGCAATGAGATGTCGATGTCTACTATTCAATTCAAAGGCCCCGATGAAGGGGTCGTTCACAGAAGATTGTTTCTTGACACTTCAAGTTTCCGATAGATGTAAGAAAGATGGACTAACCTGCCCCGCCAGCGCCTCCTGATGCTCCTAAAGAACTCGGTTAGCCATTTTTATATTACTTCGCCCCAAATATGGTGATTTATTTACCTCCCGCGCCCCCAAGTGCTCCAGTCAAGGCTGCAAGGGGATCAGCACCGGCTAGAAGGATCAGCAAGAAGTCTCAAGGCTTCAAAGAGAAGAACGTGAAACTAACCTTTTCCTCCTGCTCCAGTTGCTCCAGTTGCTCCAGTACTGCCAGCTAGATGCATATTAGACGCTGTATTTATTGCTGCTGAGTTACATACCTCCACCGAGCAACGCTGAAAGGGGATTAGCACCGGCTAGAGAATTAGCAAGCGTTCCCGAGCATTTTAATGATAAAGTGAACTTACCCGCTCCACCTGTAGCACCACCTTCTCCATGTTAGAACCTATTCAAACACAAGAACATAACTGGCAGACTCGGGATCATTAACATACCAAGTAGGCTAGAAAGTGGGTCAGAGGCCGCAGCACTGCTCGCAGCTTTCTTCGCAGCCGACCGAGCACGTTTAGGTGATCTGGTTGGTGTGGAGGAGGTAGCGTTCGCTGCTTCAACTTGGGGCTATATTGTTCATTAGCATCGTTCAGACCAAGACACATAGATGGAATCTTACCTTGGAAGGATCACATCCTAATGGAGCAGCTCTCTCCTCAACCTTTCCGGCTGTAGAAGTTGTAGAATTGCCACCTGCTTCGGGAGCTGTGGCTTTTGCAGTGCCTGCCGCCGCTGTGGGAGAACAAGGAGTTAGTTTTTATTTCAAGCTGCTTTGGGGTTTTCTGATCAATCAAAAGCACCAAGACATTCTGGGGGTCAAGACTTGATTTATTCCTTCAAAAATTTGCCAGAGCTGGCTATAAAAACTCTCCATATCTTACCTCCAGCTGCTACCGATTTGGTAGCTTTTGCTAACGCCTTTCCCGAACTCGCGGCTGCACCGGCTCTATTTCCTGATCTGCAGACGGTTATGAGTTAGCATTAATTCCATCACTTGAAGCGTTTGAAATATTCTCAAAATAAGCTCTTGCCGCAAGAGAAGAAAATAGGTACTTACGCCGCTGCGCCCCCTTTAACTGCTGGGCTTTGTCCTTGTTAGCATACAGTCTCGTATCTTAATGGAATACCTACCATCCCGGAAGGTCCGCAGGAGTAGTAGCCTTTGCTGCACCTGCCGCCGACTTTGTTGCCGAAGCCTGACGGCGTCCGAATTCCTTGCCAACCACTACCACGGCAGCCTTTCCGGTATTAAAACCCCTCGCGGGAAGTATATCGCCGTTTCTGGCTACGAGTGGAGCTGCGTGGGCCGTGAGGACGAATGCGGCCAGCGCGTAAGAAGAGAAGGTCTGTCCACGCATGATAGTTATGAATGAGGGCCGATAAATAACAAGGATATGAGAACGAGTTGTTTAGAGATGAATGGACGTCGAGTCTTATGGTGAAGCGAAGAGATGTGGGAAGAGAATGTGTTGTCCAGCGGAGAACGTTGAGGATGGAGCCTTATATCCAGCTCGATACTAAGATCAGAGATCATCATATCGGGGAGATCCCGAAGGTATCCTTGCGCTGGCCATCCCAAACGTTCAATCGCACTGGGAACGTTTGGGACTCCGATCTGCTGTCCATTTCAACTGACATACCCCTTGCATCCGCAGAACTGAGACTTCAGTGGAGTTCTCTCTTAGTACTGTACAGAAAGCATTGCGCTTTATGGGATGCCGGCAATCATATTCGGACGAAGGAAATACAAGAGAGAGTGTTTCGTACAAAGCCAGCATACTAAGGGATCAGATGCAATTGGGTGGTAGGAGGTGGATGCAGCTAGCTAAATGTCACTTTACAACATGTCGTGCTTGAGGCCGTGAAGCCACAGCACGTTGCGAAACTTCCGAGCGCAGACAAGCCATTGGACTTCGAATTACTAGTCAAACGAAGAAGCAGCTCAGCCTCACTCGCACGGTTTAACAGCACATCAATATAAACTTCGAATTACAAGGTGGTTCCTGGTAAAGTCTGTGCAGAGAAGGCTCTGTGACGGGACATTGTTTGGAGATCAACGGAAGTGACGATCCGACCGGGAGATCACCACCTCGCAACATGAAACAAAGAAAACTGGAGTATAAGATGGTTTGTCTTTTCTTTTAGTTTTCTTCGAATCATCTCAAGCAAGCGAAAAAGGAAGTGCCGATTGATATCAAACATTGGAATAGTCGAAGATCAATGACAGGCAGGAACCAGGTAGGGTCTTTCCACTAGGAAGTAGTTGTATGCAGGAAGTCCAGGAACAGAAATAATAATACACCAAGCCTACCAAATTTGAAGTCATGAGCAAGCAAAAGTACCAGCAACTCAACATGTGGATTATTAACATCTTTATGTTCAACTATGCCTATTCTACAAAACCAACGCTAGCCTACGACGAATGTACAGACCCCACGGTCTAGAATCCAAAAGGGTTTTGCGGAGCTAAATTCCATTATTAGAGGATTTCATACATCAAAATGTTGGGTTACTTACTGGCTTGCGAGAGGTTTGCTCTGCGCCCCGTCGCTTGGGGCATTAGCTTCTTTGTATCCCCCGTGACACCGAATCTTACTGGCGGAGGTGGGCCAGTCTTCTGGGGAATCAGAGGCGCAATGGTCTGTTGCTGAGGAATAGGAGGAACCGGGGGTGGGATGAAAGAATTGAAGCCGTTTTGCGGTTGTTGCACACCTGTAGGCGTGGGCTGCAAAGCGGGAGGCAGGAAAGAATTAACTCCAGTGGCTTGGGGGTATTGTTGCTGTGGTTGGAAAGGGCCTGGCATTCCCGTAGGCTGGTTTTGAATGGGTGAAAATTGCTGAGATCGCGGGTCGGCAAATGGGCTCGTTCCATTATTCATGAAGTTCTGCTGGGGCGCTCCTGTCGGCATGGGGTATTGGTATCCAATCGGAGCTCCGCCATTGCTGAACTGATTGAAGTTCTGAGGTTGGTTCATCATGCCCATGTTATTCTGCGCGGTGTATTGTTGGCGCATTTGGATCTCGTTGAGGCTTTGACCGGGAGGAGCAATGTTAGGTTGCTGAAAGCCTGCCGATGTCTGCATTCCAGTGGTTTGTGCTTGTAGCGGAGGTAACGAGAACCCACTCTGTTGATTTGCCTGAGGTGCAGAGAGAGGACGAGTAGGTGGAGCGGGAATCATCAGCCCGCTTTGACTCTGGGGTTGAAATTGACCGGGCGAAGGCCTTTGACGAGCTATGCCCATCTGCGAACCCTGCGGGTTGAATAAATTGTTAGGTGCACCAGTCTGCTGTGGTGGGAGACCGGTTTGTTGATTTCCAATGCCAGTAAACATCGAGGGCACTACAGGTGGCGGCCCTTGAGCCTGAGGTTGGGGTTGTGGCTGTGGTGGCTGTTGTATGATTTGGGGAGCCGCAGGCGTGGGCTGTGCTCTCGCAGGTTCCAGAGGCTTATCAAGGAGTGACAATTCTTGCATGGTACCAGTCATCGCTGGTACTTGAGCAGGGGCCGTAGGCCGAACCGGTTGGGCAGGTTGACTGGCGGTAGTTTGGGATTGTTGTTTTGAGGGCTTGACGTCCCAGGCATCATCGTCAAATCCATTTCTCACCACATCCTTCTGGGTGGGCGTAGGCACAGATGCAAGTGGTGTTGCCACTCCTTCATGAGCCCTCTCCTTCGGTTCCTGAGAGAATGCTTTGGGGTCCACAACATCGCTAGTTTGGACTGTAGGTGCTGGGCGACCTTTCCGAGTATTGTTCCTAAGAGCACCTCCTGGACCAGCAAAAATACCGCCTGACTCGCCATCCATGACTTCTTCACCTCCAAAACTAACGCTGCGTTTACCTCCTGTACGTGCGTATTTTTTGTCGAGAAACCTCATAACCTTGATGATATCACCCTCGCGTAATCCAAGGGTTCGGAGCACTGCGGCATCAATATCGGGCAGAACACTCTCATCCATTGAATCCTTGGCGAAAGCTTGGGCATATCGTTCGCAAAGTCCAACTTGTACGTCGCAGGAAAGGAAGAACTGGAACCAGTCGTACTCTGGCTGCTTTGGACGTTCAATCGAAGCACCCACAGGAGAGGCACTATCCCGAGACCTGTCTGCTCGTGCCCGTTGGTTCTTCTTAATATTCGATAACGGTTTATCCTCATCGAGAGATATTCCTGTCATTCGTTCGACATATTCCAGATCCTCAACCGACATTTTAACGACAGGAACGGCGATCTTAACGCCGTTCATTTTATGAAGATTAATTTTACCATCCTTTAATGCCAAAAATTGCGCTTCAACGCTAAAGGATTTCGATCTATCAGTCCACGTTCGGACTTTCGAAGGATCGGGTTCTATGGGATTAGTATATCAATAGACAGCCGAGGGTTTATGCTTACTAGATTTAGAAGCTCGAGAGTTTTGATCGGGTCGACTACTTTCACGTCTGCCTCTGTGTTGCCCATGATTATTACTACTATCTCCAGCAGATAAACTGGAGCCCCTTTCGGGTATATCCTCCTCTCTCCGTGCTGCTTTCAAAGATTCTTTCGCTAGTCGTTCCTCCTCGAGTCGGTTTTGGTCCTTGAAAGATCGGCCCGCGTTTATACCACTTGTACTTGGCGAAGATATCGTTCCCGTAATCTCGATATAACTGCTCGGAACAACACCTTCAGTTCCATTCCTAAGACGTCGTACTTGCCACCATTCCTCGCTCTTCGTATCGTCAATCACAATAACCTCATCCCCAACAGCGACCGTAACCTCGTCTTCGCCCTGTGCCATAAAGTCATAAAGAACTTGCCCTTTCTTCTGTGTTTGACCTGAGCCTGCCATTATTATATCTTTTAACCCTTCCGCCCTAACGGCACCAGCGATATCACCTAGAGCACTGACAATCTCTTGGGCAGTATCTTTTGCTCCGGCATGAAAGTCCACGCTTTTGCTCGGCCGTACCAACTCAAGAAAGACGTGCTTTCCCTCAATCGAGTAGTGTGTCATTTTCTCAGCGGTCCACTTCTGCTCTGGGCCATCTCGAGCCTTCTCGGGGGCGATCATAATTATACCAGTAGCAGAGTTGATTCCCAATGTTGTCGGCATCTTCTTTCGCTTACCCATCACGGATACCATCTCATTGATATTGTACATGTGGAACCCGCCAGGAGATGAATACGCCATTTCATCGTCAATGCCCCTATGAGAAGCTCGGTTGTATGGCGGAGACGCTGTAACTCCTATTGGGGATACTGAGCCCCTTGAAGCATGTACATCTATAGGTTCCGGGGCTCTAGCTTGAATCTGAGAGCCAGGTCGAGCCGGTAACGTTGGCGTGGGAGGCTCATCTTCGTCTGAATCCTCAGGGGTGAACTGCTGTCGAGGAGGAGCAGGTGTCGGCCTCGCTGCAGGCGCAGATACCTTTCGCTGGTTCATTATATTTGCCAAATTTGCTGCCGGACTGTGGATTGGACTGCTAGGGGGTTCCGGTTCCTCTGCTACCCGAGACTGTGGAGGCCGCCTTGGAAGACTTGGTGCCGCGGGTTCAGCGGCGGATGTCTCTTCGTCGTTCACTTCGATGTAGTTCGCTGGCGCAAATCCATATTCCCCATCCAGCCCGACCAATATCCAATCCGGGTCGGAGGAATCGAAGACTTCGAGTCGTGCATCTTCAGTAAACGAGAGCTCCTCGTCAGTCTGCCTGGTATAATCGTACAGCGCGCGGGCGTGTGTTTGAGGGGGGGCCTTAGATATAATCAGTCAGTTTGAGCTTTACAAGATCAAGCTTCTTTGTAGTGGCGCATCGGAGTACACGCTTATGAAATCATAAGATCCAGGGCAGCCGTAAATTTGTAGCCATGCACCGCCATCTGTCACTGACCTCTTCAATGTAATTGTTGGGGATTAAGCCAACAGGTTCATCATCATCATCTCCAGATGCCTTCTTCTTTGCTCTCCACCAGTCATCCTCTCCACTCTTCTCCAGCACGTAGAGTATATCTCCTTCGGTGATCGCAAGCTCGGACTCCCCTTGTGGTTCGTAGTCGTAGACAGCCTTATAGACACCTAGGAAACCCATCTTCAGATATTCTTCTGGCACACCCAGGGCCTCTCACGGTGGTTGATTCGAGGTGTTTACTGTCCTGCGAATCGGTCGTGGAATAGCCCCATGCAATTACGGGCGGTCCGTCCCAGCTTCAAGGCCGCGTTGACGATAGAGAAACCGGAGCTTCCAGGGTTGCTATGGAGAACCGAGGAGGTGAGAAGTAGTGTGAGAAGCTGAGTTTCAGGGATGGATATTCTGGCACGGCTCAAAGAATACTCGGCAAGATTTGGTGCTGGAGCTGTGGAAGCAGTTGTGGAAGGTCGGTTTGCACAATCGGATTACAGTACAGCAGCTGGAGATGGGAAGTGCACGAATGGTTATAATCCCACGCCGTATAATTCCAGGATCGGCCCGTAAGGTGGACTCACTCGATTCCATCAACCACAACGTCACTGAGCAATAGAGACTATATGGACAGACTTTATTTTGCACGGTTACGGATTTGAGAATGTGCCACAGAGGCAGAGTCATAATAAATTCATACGGCATCTAATAATCGGCCTTTGGCAATGATATCAGGTTGAATTAGGAAAGTCACATCGCATAATGGATTACGGAGTATGATCATGAGGTTGCGGATCTGGTACAACGCGTTTCAGATGCTTAAAACATTCCATTATTGCCTCCCACATGGATGCTCAATAAATATATCTAAAGTCCATTGTTCTTTCGAGCAACTGTTTCCCCTTTCTTTGCCGGCCATTCGCGTACCAAAAGTACAGCGAGAAGGCTACAACAATACAGATGATGAGGATATGAGATCCAATGCTGACCCATATTGCAGTGATGTATCTTGGGGCTTCATCTTGTCTTACAATGAAGCTTCCAGCGATACCGCCGAGCCCATTACACGCTGTGATTGCAGCCGCGAAGGTTGCGCGTTTCCATTGTCCTACAATGTTTGATGCCTGGTATGCGTTCATTGCTGCCCAGTTGCTCACATAGGCTCCAGTTGCAAGATACGTTCCTACATATCGAACTGTGACTTGAGAGGCAAATCCGAGCATACTGAACCCGGCCACGGTGCAGATGCAGTTGAAAGTAATGACCAGACCACGAAGTTGGTATCTATCACCCACGATAGAAGATATTATCACAGGTATAACGGCGTAGAAATAAGGCGGCGCCGCGAGAAGGATTGCCTGATCAGACGAGAATCCCATCCCTGACTGGAGGATGATGGGCAGGAAATATGAGAGACTATTCGATATCAAGTCAGCATTTATCTATTCAAAGTATCTCTGAATTTGTGAAAAGGTATTCTGGGAAAGCCCAGAGGAGCATTGCATCACCTGGCTTATGATGAGACTGGACTCACCTGGTGGAAACGAGATTCAAAAGGAAGAACAAACAGCAAAAGCCATATATCTTTAGATCCAAGAAGTGAACAAGACAACTTCTCAAAGCAAAAGGTTCAGCCTTCACATCACCTCGATCATCCGTGATACGAGTCTCAGCAAGAGCCTGCTCTTCCGATGTGAGGAAACAGAAGCTCTTGTGTGAGTTCTCTGGGAAGTCCACAATCCAGAAGTAAGTTGCAAAGCCAATGACTACGAGTAGAACGTCAGCAATAAAGCTATAGCACATTCGGGGCACTTACCGATGGCAATGAGTCCTTGGACCAGAAACATCCACCTCCACCCGGCGAGTCCTCCCTTGCCATTAAGGTGATTCAAGCCAAAGTTCAAGAACCCTCCCAAGCCCACAACAGTCACTTCTCCAGACTGCAGAAACGCATATCGAAGCTGTTGTTCTTTGCGGGTGCTGAGGAAAAGGAGTTAGCTTTACTTCTTTTAAAGTGTTTTAGAGTGGCAAGTAGATGAATCCTGGTGACATACTACCATGTACTTATAAGATAGCTAAGTCCAGGGAATATGGCGCTTTGCATAATACCAAGGAGGATTCTGAGTCCGATCATTTGCTTCCATGTTGTTACGAAAGCGGTACACTGCTCAGATCAGCAGGGCTCGGACTTTATACTTGCACTTATGACTTACCATAGTAATAAGTCCAAAAGACACAGTGATGAACGAGAACATTACTCGTGGCCCCAAAATCCTCACTGCAATCGTAGCCGGTAACTGGAAGGTCACGCTCGCAACTGTGTATACCAATATCGCAACAGACTATCTTCATCGTCAGCGAGTAGAAAAATAAGATATCCAAGCTTTGCTTCCTTTCCACCTACTCAAACCCCTCATAGATGGGTCAAGAGCGACTCAATTCACCTCTCCCTCCCACCTTGATATACTCACCTTCTCAACCTCCCCCCTTTTCTTGCCATGGAAAAAGAGAAAAGAAAAGAAAAGAAAAGAAAAGCAAAACTCACATATCGATTCCCAATCCCCAACCCCAAATCCGCAAAGATACTCGTAACAGACGCACTGCTAATAATCCCCGAATCCAGCAAATTCAAACTACACAATATCCCCGCAATAGTACACAACCGCAAGTCAATTTTCCTCACCAACTTCCCCTCCAGCCCATCCCTCAAAACACTCTCGGAATCCTCATTCCCATCCCTATCCCCATTCAAAACCTCCCGAGCACCACCACCACCATCGCCTTCAAGGACCGTAGAAGTGGAAGCAGGTGCTTTCTTACTACCACTGTCGTCATCTTCAACCGGTTGCGGGGTAGACATTTTGTAGATAGAGTATATATGTAATGTACTGTTGTACTGTATGTCGATTGTCCTTTGAATGAGAGAAAGATTAGTGGATCACTCTTTCCCAATCTCAATCCCTCAATCAACCATGTACTGTACTTACACTACTAATCCATACACCATCAATTACTAAGCACTTTTCTCACCTTCCTTATTCACCCATCCCATTCATTAATCATCACCACAAGATACGTACTACAGTACTCCGCACAGAGTATACATGCGGTAGTGCAAGTCCTAGCCTACACTTGAAAAGGAGGGACAGTACAGTACCACCTCGGCGCAAAACACTCGGGAATACTGTAGCAGTCCAGCCACCGTATTTTCGATTCGGAGATTGAAAAAGAAAAAGGAAATTAATGGAAGACCATCTGCAGTCGATGCGATATCGGAGGGAAAATGATACTATACTGTACAATATGCATGTCGGGAAGGAGGGGGTTGCTGCATGGGTCGCAGATCACTACCGGAAAGAGTTGAGGGGGGGGGAGAGAGTGTGACTTTTCATGAATCTTTATTCACCACTGCACCTTGAGTTTGGATGTATGATTGAGTTGATACTGAGGAAACAGTCACTCAGGAAATACTTGAAAGATCATAATATTAGGGCTCATAGCTTATGGCTCATGAGTATTGCTACAGACTTCTAATCAACAATTTCCCTAGTCGAGCGCCTGTCTCTATCTTATTGATGCCATTTCCCTGTATAGTCTTTTGCCCCCTGGTGGTATCAAAATCTACTCTTTTCTCGATCTTTTTCCGCAAAACCAATTCGTTCCAATTCATCCATCTGACGCCCCATATCCCATCTCCGACCCACCAGCCTCCTCTATCTCTCTATCACTCCCCTCTTCGACCACCACGCCATCCGTCCCCTTTGTCTCCTTGCGCCTCCTGCCCCTGCCATCCTCCGCCTCACTCCAACTGCTCTTCCTCGCATGGCTATTTTTTCTCTGCGTTCTACTGACGATGCCCGGGAAGATCCTCGGCTCGCCTCCACTCAAATGCAAGTCCGAGAAGGCTTCGACGGACCTAGATTTGCTGAACGTGGTGGCGTGTTGATTGGGACTATTTGTCGCGATAGAATTGGCGCTTTCAGGCTGGTGTGAGGTGGGGATACGTGCGGCTTGGGAGGGGAATTGTTGGTATTGCTGTGTTTCGACTGCTACGGTGCTGGACGAGGCGTTTGACTTTACAGATAAGGTAGGCGAAACTGGAACTTTCTCTGGGATCTGAGGGATTTGTTCGGTTTTGCTGGGTTTAGGTGCGACTGGGGTGGCCATTGCTGTGTATCGTTCAATCCTGCTTGTGTTAACTAGTTAATCTACGAAAATGGGAAGTGTTGCTTACATTGAAAGCTCTTGGAGCAATGTCTCGTGCCTGAAACCTTCACGAATATTGGGCACGTTGCTCTTGGCCATCTCGTTACCCTTCACACCTGGTAGATAGAAATCAGAACCCAGCCATCTCTGCTTTGCAGCAAACTCATAGCCACTTTGCGTGACAGAGTTCTTTGCCAGCTCACACATGTCTACAGCGCTAAGCTTGTAGATTTGAGCGGCGACAGAATATTCTTCAATCAATGGCTCTTTTGTAAACGCAAATTGAAGAGGATCGTCCGTGGAAAGCGAGACATTCAATCCTCTCTTGAAGTATTGTAAGAATGGATTTCTCTCATATGCCAAAAACAGTGCATTATTGCTCAAAGGAGACATTGCCACTCCAATTTGCTCGAGATAGAATATGTATTGTAGGAGCGGCACCTTGCGTAGCAAAAGACCATGGCTGATACTGTGACAACAAAGAACAGCAGCAGCCAGATGATCCGTATCACCAGCTTCACCACAATGGGGTCTCAGGTGGAATGTATTGAAACCACGCTGCTTCCGCCAAACGTTCAGGGAAGCCATATTCGAGAATAGGTAGTAGATCCAGTAGCTGTAAGGAGGATTCTGCTTTGTTTCCCATTCCTTCGGCACAGGGAATTTCCTGAACAGTCTGCGCTCCGGCTTACTCTCATCATCGACACTATCGAAACCGATTACTCTTTGAAGGAATATGTGAAGTTTTGGGTGAGTAGTCGGATCCTTGGTCACCTCGAATAGAGGCTGGAAGAGATTTACAATTACTTGCTCGAAATTCTCCATCAGACCAGTGGACTTGTAGACGTCGAATAATCGAGGAACTTGGATTAACCATCGGACATTGTGTGAGAAGAGCTTGTTGTCGACGACCCAGGCTGCAAGCTTGTCCCATTCATCAAGACTTCGGCCGTATATTGAGATACGCCACTCCACCATTTGGTATTTGCTTGATTCCAGGTCAGATATCACCTCTTTCGTGATCTCTGCTAGGTATCTACCGTTGATAAAATTATCTGTCTTGAGGAAAATCGTCCTCAACCGGGATTCTCCAATGGGATTGTATTTAAGGTTGAATTTGTCGAACCGATGGAACGAGTCAGTATGAGCCTGATACTGTTAGTCAATGCAAAAAAAACCATACTTGCCTCTGATACTTACGTGCATATCGAGCGTATCAATACTGAGATCATACGCCGTCAAATTGATACTCTGAAAGACCTCTTCCAAAGTAAGATGCTTCCCATCTCTGAACATCACAACCTCATCCGGACACTTCTTCATCTTGCTCTTAATAAAGCGCAACAGATGCTTTTGATTCATGCATGCCGAGTGATGAACGTGAGTATCGACCTTTCTCACATTATAGAAGTCCCTATGCGGAACCCTTTTGCTGTCTGCCATCTCTTGGTACTCGTTGAGCAGCACGTACAGATTGAACTTGCCTTCCAGGTACTGCAGTCGGCGGAATGCAAAACTTTTACTCGGTCCATCCGAGGAGACGTTGAGAATCTCTTCTAAATCCATGTAAAACTCCCGGATAGTAGGGATATTGATAACGGGTGTGTCAACCTCTAGTGCTTTGGCATTCTCATACACCTGATACACACTATTTTCATCCATACGGAACGTCATCTCGCTGCTACCAGGCAAAGGTAGAAGATCATCCATGTCAAAGTCCGCACCAATATCTTGACCCGGCTTCCGCTTCTTCTTAGGAGCCTTCGGGGTCTGTGGACTTTGTGGAGGTTGCGACATATTCGAAGAGCTGCCTCTAGTACGAGGTCTGTCGAGAACCATACTATTCGACATACTGGCACTCTTGCTTGGCTTTCCAGCTGCAACACTAGAGTTATCCTGCTCTTCATACCAAGCAGGTTCCGGTGGCGAGGGGTAAATCTTCCAATTTGGGTCATCCTTGGGATTGTCGCCTTCCTCCTGCAAAGACAACCTCATGTATTTGTGCCGCGTATCCAATATCTTCTGGATCTTGGAGTAGATGGTACTCAGCTCCGATGTAATGTGCGCATCGTTGTCCGCGAATCCGCCTACACCATTTCCTACGCCAACTCCAGCGCCAGCTCCATGTAGTCCTTCTGTTTCTAGCAATGGCTTTGGCTCGTGGGGTATATCTGGATGTGTAGAATGGTCTCTAGCGCCCCGGTCTGCTCGTAGGAGGGATTCCGTCCGATGTATGCCCGTTGGGCTTTGTGTGTACACGCCATAAGCTGGTTCTTGAATAGTATTGCTTTCGGGGTGTTTTGCAGGATCTGCTAGACCAATGGGGACAGCGGGCCGGTACTTCGAAGAGCTTTTAGAGAATTAGAAATGACAGAGCTTCTACGAGAAGATTACTCACCTCGTTGAAAAGTTCTGCTTGCTCTTCAGAGAAGTCATACTGCCTGACCTTGGTATCAACGTTGGGCTAGCTTGCGGGGAGCTCTGCGAATTCCCCCAATTGCTTCCCCCAGTCTTCTGGGCCTCGAGTTGACTCCTCTGATAGAACAACTTCGCATCTGCCTGGCTCAGCTGCTTTTCCGTAGCGTAATCATAGTAGGCAGTTTTCTGTTGAACGTCCCGAGCGAGCATGCCCTCCTCTTCCTCTGATGGGGTTTTTACTTCTGGGGTCCCTTCTTCTGTTATCGCGGCATCTGGGAGCATGGAAGGCTCCATGTCCGAGTCCGAATTGCTCACATCAGGGCGCATTATGACGAGCAAATGGTGTTGATTTTTTTTGGAGGGACGTGGAGTCCCAAATAAAATACTGATAAGGTCGGGAAATTTACGAAGTGGAGGTGACCCGCCAAGATTCCTTTTTTAAACGTCATGCAGGTCCCGATTTTAACAAAGACTAAATAGGATTAAATTCACTTCTTTGAGCATGGGCATCATCTCATGATCATCTCCTTAAATTTTTCATTTCTAGCCTACTTTGCCATTCGCACTAACACTACCTCTATGCCTGGCACGAGTAGAACCTTTAGAGCCTTCCAAACCATACATTCCTCCTGCGAAAAATACAATGGAGGCCCCAATCAATGTCCCAGGTGATAGCCTATTGCCAAATAACCATATACTCAGCAACAAACTAACTAGCTTCCGTACGTTGAGCACAATCGTGACTGTAAGTGCGGATGCTGCCGAAGCGAGCAAGTTGACCCCTCGGATACAGGCATATTGCGTTAACACGTTGGTGACAAGATAGGCAAGCTGGCTCGGGATGTGAATCTTGTCCAGTCCACTTCGCAACTCAACGGGGAGATTGTCTAGAGATTCGTGGGCTGGTAGTCCTAACGGCGCGGATGCAGCTAACTTGAGGAATTGGCGGTGCATATTTGGGAGGAATGGGATGAAAAGGGGCAAAGCTAGCAAATGGGAGTAGAATAGATTTTCCTTCCAGTGGGGCCCGTATTCTTTATAGGTTTCTTCAGTGTACAAGCCCATGATAGCTGAGAGGACTTGAGCCACGAAAAGTATGGCGAGTCCCGTGCTGAAAGGTGGTAGGCTTTGTGAAGTCTCGAGGCCCTTCTATTGAATGTGTTAGCTTAGCCCAAATTAATTTAAGGCGAGAACTTACTTTTGACTGCTGGTCTGACCACGCCGCAACAACAACACCAACAGTCAAGAGCGTGACTGCAAAGACTTGGATACGGGAGAATCGTTTTCCCCATATATAGCCGGCCGCTAGGGTCGTGATGCTTCCTCCAGAACGGAGAATGATATGTATAGGGACAGAGATGTTGTAGCTGAAGGCATGATTGTTCAGTACATTAATCGTGAAGAATAAGAGGATATTAATCATCCAGCGGCGTATAGGTACACGGTTCGGTTTGAGGAAGAGGGGTGCTCGGTTTCGATCGAATTGGGATATGTATCCGGTAACAGCCACGAAGAGGAATTGTACAAAGGTTAGGAGGGTTCCTTTTGTGATATCAGCATATGTATTGACTGGGGTCTTTTAAAGTGGTGCATACCGCTTTCTGGCTCAACTCTGAAGACAAAATGTTAGCATTCGCGCCAGCAGAGTAGATTTGCAGAGCCTCAACTTACTTCACAATAGCTTCCAGCGCAAAGACCTTCAGACAAGTCATTAGCCTCCATTGAGATCTGACATCATGCACCCAGGACAGGAGCATCAATCACTCACATTTGAGCAGCATCCACCAAATATCAAGCCCAGCATAGCTCCCGCCGCCAGCCATTGTGGAATGGTCTCGATGAATATGCGACCAGCCATAGCAAACATCTTCGAGGACGCGGTCCGTGTGTCGTCTATGCCATACATTTCAGCCTTCTCCAAGGACGGCGCAGCATTGATGACCTTTGGAATTATGACATGTCCATCGGTGCCAGAGGCCGATGTAGATTGAAGGTCTCGTAGGGTTGATCTTCGGCGGCTGGTTGTCATAGGGCTAGACTGCGTCGTGCTGCTAGAGTCAGTTTTGCGTTTCTTCGTCCCCATTATTGTCTTGTCTTGTCCAGTCTCGTCCTGTCCTGGCTGATGCTGGGTTGGGAGCCGGAACCGTCGGTTGCGGGTTCTCTGTGTAAGGGAGGAACTTTCGCGATCTGACACGTTGTCACGCAAATACAACACAACGCGGTCCGTTCATGCTGACTGGGTGGTGGGTTGGATTGGATTGGCACAAGGCACTTACTTAAAGAAAAACACAGCGGCAGCTGGCTGTGGGATGAGATGACTGATGACAGACACTACTACTATACCCGTACACTAGGTACCGTACCGTATGCTTAAACGGCTTCCTTAGGGCATGAAATGCCGAAGTTAGGCAGGGCAGAGGCTGTACGTGGTGTGGTGGCGGGCAGCAAAAGCAGAACGAGTGGTAACGCTTGCTTGCTGGCTGTTAAAAAGGAAAAGCATGCGAGATGGTTCAGGCGGGCCTACCCTACTAAGCACTGTAAGGAGAATCCCATCATTGGTAACTGGCCATAAAAGGTGCCTCTAAGCCAGGCTGCTTTGGGCATTGAGGGGATCGGCTTACCCCTGGCAATTTCATGTGTTTTGCCAAGTAGGCCCGGCTGAGTTGCCCAAACTCACGGCTGTGGCTTGAAAACAAATAAGCTTCGAATCCACCACACAGATCTGAATGGAAGAAAAGAAAAATATTCATTATATTATATGCTATCTAGAATTACAGTATACTTAATTGAGGGGGCTGTGCTGTCTAGAGCTGTAGGAAGTAGCCAGGATATGAAAGCCAGGTTGTCACTTGTATTGACGTGCATATCCGCTGAAGTATGCAGGTGAGATAATGGGGAAGAGGGGGCCGTTGCCTTACCTATTCTGTTCTCTCCACCGAGGTAACGTCACTTGATGCAATAATACACGGAAGAATTACTTGCATCTTTCTCTGCATTGTTCGCAACCTGCGAGTTGACTAATCTACTTGGTCTCTGAAATCTCGCCCAAAGTCATGTTAACGTCAACCATGTCATTAATCATTTGGGCTATATCAGCTCGCAGTCTCCCGCAATTGAGAAACTGAGAACCATCGCGCCATAATGACTGCTATTTCCCAGATTTCCATAAACCACGCCCTCGTATTTGTATGGGATCGTTCCTTTGACACCTATGATGCTGGGTTCGTTTCTGATGACTAGCAAAGCCTGATCATGGACGCAGATGAGAACCCAGGGATGAGGGATTGAGGAATGCTGTAGCTAGTCACGAATTGAAACGCCGATAGAATATGACCAAAAGACCTCTTCCTCACAGCACCACTTTCTACAATGCCGAGAATACAAAAAGCTAGGCACAGTTAGTCAAGTCCCTGTACCTAGCCTCAAGAAACTTACATTATTGGTTGCCGCAATAGCAATGCTGTCCTCAAATGGATGCCAGCTCATGTGTAATATCTTCTTGTTGAAGTCAATTTGGTCGGCATCAGTCTCCTTCCGCATTCTACCACCTTGGCCAGTCGCTCCTGCTGCCGGGCTGCCAGCTCTCGAGTTGCCCTTCTTTCCACCATTCGTAGCTGTAGGGCTTGTGGACGAGTTGATCGGGGTCGGCACACCCACCTTCTTTGCCTTGAATGCTGATTTGTCGGCTTGCAGAACCACTTCAACCTCTTTATCCGGATCCGAAGGATAAATCATGAAATTGTTGTTGTAGCTGCCCGTCATAACATTCTTAGCATCTCCAGAGAAAACAACCTCGAACTTGTCGAAGATGCTATCGTTCTCATACGTATCACAAAGACGGGGTCGGAGATGTTCGTGAATAGGGATCGTCTTTACAGGTTGCCTCTCCATGTTGACATCCCAGATCTTGACTGTCAGATAATCACGCGAGAGGATGTAACGTCCGTCATGGGAGAATCGGACGTCGGAGATTGAGGAGATGATTTCGGAGAAGAAAGATCTGGCTGACGGATCTTCCTCTTGCTCAAATTCTGAAAACAATGTTAGTCATTAATGATAGTAGGGTTCGAAGTGCTCACGCTTGGCATGCTGGTCACACAGAGCGCTCTCTCGCATATCTGCAAGCTTAATCGTGCCCTTCGAGCTTGCATACATAAACCAATTGCAGCTCTGTGGATGGAATTCTGCGGCTGTAATAACCTCGGTCAGCTCCTCCATGTTAGCTGGCTTGATATCGACGATGTTAAAGCTCTGATCTTGAATATTCAAGTTCCACAAATTTATACGTAAATCATCACTGCTGATGAAGGTCTCCCCATCGCTGTTCACAGAAATACTATTAATGTGGTATGCGTGAGCATTGGCATAGGTTCGACGAGGTACAGCGGCTACCACAGTATCGTGGTGTGTGAGGCGGGGTAGTTTGAGGTCGTGGGAACTACCGAAATGGACGTTGGAGATCGGACGTACACCACCTCCACCTCCAGCAGAGTTTCCCGGTGTTAGATCGTGTGATAGGTTGTTCTCAGCTACCACCTTCAGCGATTTCTCAAAGACTTTCCATAATTTGATCGTTTTGTCGTTAGTTGAAAGGAGGTAATGCGAAGCATTTTGTCGTTTACACCATTTGATCTTGTTGATTTTTTCTTCTATTTCGAGGGATTTCAGGTAGTCGAATTCGGGCTCGTGAGATTGAAATTCGGTATGGAACTTGTATTCACATGTTTTTTTCTTCGGACACAGTCAGTCTCTGCTCTGGTGTCTTTGATTCAGTGTAACCCAGGGCATCACATACCGTTTCATTCCGCTCAAATAGAACAACCCGCCCTCCCTTATCTCCAGTCGCGAGGTAGTTTCCCGTATGATCGAACTCGACTGTCGATATTATGTCCGCTGTGATCTCACGCGTCAGCTTTGTCCCCCACATGCGTAATAGAACTGCAGATTGCAATGGATGCACTAGCAGCAATATCAATCCGCAAACGTAAAGAAGGGACCATGAACTAACCCTCTGTGATATCCTCTACATCGCCCTTATCACCAAAACATCTGATTGGGAGTTAGCATTGTTACAAGCAGGATAACAAGTTGCCCGCAAGGCGAGAGATTCCTTGGGCGCAGGTGGACTGGAAAGGCACCCCGAGAGACATCATCTATCAGCAGAGGAAGAGGGGCACTGACTGTGTGAACTTCCATGTTGGAGAGTTCGGTTCCCCTTCTACCATCTTTCAGAACCCGTGTGGAGGAGAATGTTCCCCGCCAAAAGGTTGTACGGGAAGGAGCTTGTTGCTTGAAAGAAGAGACTGGGTCTGAGCTCGATCGCGTCGAGGGGTCAGTGCCGGAGGGTTTATAGGTATCTTATGCAGGAAAGGCCGAGAGAAAGTGCAAGGATGTCTTGGGCGCGAATGTTGAGGATCTCGAGAGAGATGACGGTGATGGCGTGGGAACCAAATGCGGGACGTCAAGGCGGTCAACGGGCGACACAACTGCTAGAATAAATTAGGTGAGCTTTAGGTAGTTGGGCGACGACGTGAATTCGAAAGTCAACACGATGGAGTGAATGGGTATTGGTGTAGAATCGAGTGCAAGATGACTTTGAAGATGTCGTGGGCTCTGGCTGGCTGTGGTTTGGCTGATTGGCTTGGCGAGACTTGACGAGCTCCCACTTCCATTTGCGGCTGACAAAGAAGGAGGCGAAACGCAAGCAACATTTTTGAATTTCCAACCCGCCCATTTTTTTATATGTTACCTTTAACAATCCAAAGCCACGAAACTTGCAGCTTCTCTCTAACCAGTCATTCAAATATGACTTGGCTATTTGCTGCAGGAAATCAAAGCTTCATTTTTTTTCAAATCTGTGAGCAAACCTCAATTTAACCAACAGAAGCTCCAAGCTCAGCCAATGTGATAGCAAAGCGAAATCTTTATCTGGATATATGTTTGCCCTCACGCCTTACAACTTCTTTCTTCAATCCTAAGGCCCTTCCCATGAGTACGGGTTCTATCAACCCGAATTCAACTATCTAGTTGAGACTGTACGAACGTGCCCGCATATATATAGGTTGGATGATCTTACCGGTATCCCATTCTGCAAGTTGATATACCAGGTGTATATATGCATAGCACGTTAATTTGTAGCAGCTAAACACCAATCAAAACCTAAGATGGCTCCAAAATTCCAGTTGTAAGCTGTATCAGAGTACATGGTCCTACACATAGATTCCCGTATACTATAATAGACTCACATGAGGCGGGTGCTCTACTCTTTTGAAGGTGATAAGGATGTTCCCATCCCCTCTATTTTCTTTCTCTCCTACTATTGATTGATCATACAACACAATGCCAATGTTCCAAGCCCCACGACCCATTTAAGAATTCTTAATTGACCCTCTTTCCCATACCCAGAATCACTTACTCAATTTGAGAGATCCACGCTCCGGGCCGGTCCGTCTTCAAGAACCCTAGATGACACTTTGCTCAACGTGGAACTCCTTACTTTCTCTTAGTATTGGACTGGTATAGTTGCTAAATACAACTAGTTTTTATTGCAGAAGGCTGTCACGTGTCAGTCCCAATACAACTTCTGTTCGGCGAGATTCGGTTAGGTCTTTCCATGATCATGAAGACCACTCCACTCCACTTCAAAAAGTACATCCGACGCAAGCATCGACTTCTTTCACATTTTCATACTATACGATTCAAAAGTGCTGCAAATGCCCAATAGGGTAAGGCCAGTCCTCAGATCCGAAGCTGTGTTGCATTCCAATCCATGGGTTCTCAACTACCACTCAAATGCTATGAATACCCTCACAGCTAGCCCGTGACGCCCTTCTCTTGTAAACATCAGATGCCCCACCAACATAACGAGAGATCGAGAGCAATATGGATTCCGAAAAAGGCAAAGGCAAAGCTTCCGCCCCCCCTTCAAAAGACCCAGAGAACGCACCATCCAAACCACCAGAAAATCTATCTCTCCTCTCACGAGTAACAGCCTCAGCAAGTGGCCTTACGCGCAGTGCTCTCACAGCACCAAACGCCAGCGAAATCACCGCCGCAGCAGCATTCTCAAGTTCCGCCAAGGGCACATCAAGCCGTGCCGGAACAGGAAGTGGCAGCTCAGGCTCAGCATATGCAGACAGTTCCAAAAGCGCCCAATTGCACCCATCACAATCCGCTGGCCCAGGATCCGGCACAAGCTTCAGGGCCGGGCATAGCGACGAACATGCAGTCCAATCCGAGAAAGAATTCTCCGCGTTCTTGGACGGGATTGATTCTTTCCAACCATCCGAATCACCAGTCACGGGATATGACATTAGTATTGGAAAAGATGAAAATGAAAGTACGAGTAATGCACTAGCTGAAGCATGGACGAAAGCTCAATCCCCTGCTCGTATGAACCCTCCATCCTCACGCCTCTTTCAGCACACCACGGTCATGGAGCAAGAAAGCAGAGATGGGGAAGACGTCCTAGGCCTCCTCTCATCCGCCCCTTCCAACTCGCACGAGCAATTCGAAGCCCCGGAACCAGGGACCGAAGAGCAGGAGTATGACTGGGGGCTTTCTGCCGAGCAAAAAACAGAGTTAAGAGCTATGACGAAAAAATTGGTCGGATTTGCACCTGCAGAACAGCATACCGATATCGTTGATGCAGGGCACTCGTTGAATCTGATACCTCAAACTCAAAGTGTGGATTTGCTGGCATGGAGAGAGCAATGGGAGGGTGTTCTGACGAGGTATACGAATGAGGTTTGGGGTGGACTGTTGCCGCTTGTTAGGGAGGCTAGGAGGGAGGTTGAGGAGATGAGGGACCGGAGTGGGGATGGGGGGACTGAGAAGTCGGTGGCGTTGAGGAGGCTGGGTGCTATATTGGGGCATTTGCAGGGGCGTTGACTGGCTGAAATCGCAGTCCACTGTGCAGGGAGTGGGTTTCATGGCTTACGAGTAGTGACAGTAATTATGAATAAACACTGGAGGAAATCTTAAATTTGTTCAAATTATTGGACTTTTCAATTATTAGATATATACTACCAGTACTGTAATTCAATAGCTCAAGCCTACTACCACGGCACATATATATAACTCCCCGCCCCCCACCATCTCCCTACAAAAATCCCAGT